ATGCCCTCCGCCTGACAGAAGGTCCTCAAGAGGTCGGAGGAAAACTCACCACCTCTGTCAGAGTGCAGACGCAGGACAGGAAGATCCGTCCGGAAACGGCGGCGGAGCTGGAGACGAACCGTGCGGATCCAAGGGATCAGAACAGCAGGGACCTCACCCTTGGTGCGCAAGGGGAAGACCGTGGTGTAACGCGAGTAGTCGTCGACAACCAGCAAAAAATACCGCTCACCGCCCTGACCACGAACGCGGGCTGGGCCCCACACGTCCAGGTGGAGGGTCTCCAGAGGAGCCTCTGTCGGGGGGAACGAGGAGGAGTGAGGAGCGGCGCGCTGCCGCCCCTCGACGCAAGGAAGGCAAGGCGGCGCAGGCGAGGCAGGGAGGGGAGGGAGGGACCTGGGAAGACCGGACACAAGGAGGCGACGGTGCATGCCACGAAGGCGTGGCAAGGAGGGGTGACCCAGGCGGTGGTGCCAGAGAAGAGTCTGGTGCGACAGGGAACGACACTCACAGGCGTGGGCCACCAGACCTGACGCAGACACCTGACCGACAGCAGCTACCTGGGGAGACGCAGTGGTCAGTGTGTAGAGACTCGACCCCGGCCGACGGGTGAACGTAGCCAGGTGACGGCCGGTCCTGGAGCACGTGCAGATCGCCACACGCTGTCCGCCAGGGGTAAAGGTGTCAACCCACTGATCCTGGAGGACAGCGTTACTCACCAGGTTCGTCGAGAACGAGGGGAGGTGGAAACCCGACAACGAGCCAGACGGAACCGCCGGACAAGGGAGGACAGTGGTGGACTGGGCAAGGACTGGGCCCCCAGAGGGGTCAGCCAAGGAGACTGGGACTGGTGCAGGAAGCGGTGTGAGCTCAGTACTGTCACGAAAGAAGCAACGGGAAGCACCTGAGTCAAGGGTGAAGGTGTGACAGGCCTCAGCCGGTGCGGTACCTGAGAGAGGAGTCTGTGTGGGTGCTGTACCTGAGAGAGCAGACTCGAAACCAGCCGGGACAGCACTGGGGGGAGCAAGTACAGGGGGCACCATACCAGAGAGAGCAGACTCACTAGTACCCAGGGCAGCAGGCTCTATACCTGGGTCAGGCGGCACACACAGGTAACAGTCTCCCTCGGCACTAACAGTCAATGCATACATGGCAGCAATAATGGCATCATAGTCAAGAGCAAAGACATCAACACCAGCCCTCATGAGCTCAGCCCAGCGGGGGCGCTCAACATCCGCACCCATCTCCTCACGCCAAGCGTCGTCAAGGCGGGAGAAGCAGCGGTACGGGGTGTGGAACCTCCCACACGTCTGTCCCTTGCGGTCACCTGTGCGAATGACATAAGAACAGCGGGCACTGGCCCCCGACGTCCCACGCTGAGCAAGCCACTCACGAAGCTGCTGGGTCGTCTGGGGACGCTGCTGCTGCTGGGAGCTCTGGCCAGAGCCAGTGCCTCCACTCCGACCTCCGCCGCCACCACTACCACCGCTCCGACCGCCACCGCCACCACCGCCACCACCGCCACCGCCGCCACCGCCGCCGCCGCCACTACTGCCACTGCTCCCTCCGCCGCCCCCGTCTCCACCACCGACCCCACTCCCACCAGCGCTCCCGCCACCGCTCCCTCCAGCACCGCCTCCCCCCCCACCTCCCCCACCTCCTCCCCCACCAGCGCCACCACCACCACTTTTGCCCCCCTTGCCCTTGCCGGTGCGGCGCCTCCCACCAGGAGTAGAAGCAGCGCCAACAGACTCAGCACCAAGGAAGTCAACAGCAGCAGCAGCAGCGTAGGAGGGAGCGAGGGGAGAGGGAGAACACCCCTCAAAGATGGGGGTGCGAGGAGCGCCACGAGCAGCACCGACAGCTACAATGCTCTTTTCGGCCGCGAGCAGGTGCTCCTCTAGGAGGGCGACTGTGAGCTCAGTGGGACAGCGAGCAAGGAAGTGGTCTCGAACTGAGCGGAGGGTGTCAGGGAGACGGGTGACTATGAAGTGGAGTGTCCAGTACAGTGGAGGGGGGTTCTTAGCGCAGAACTCGGTGGGAAGGGCGGCACGCAGGCGAGCATCACTAGTGCGAAGGTGGGTGATAAGATCGGCGACTGTAGTAAAGGTGGACAGATCGGGGAACAGGTACGGCAGCATGAGGCGGCTAAGCTCGGCTGTGGCAGGCGAGGAGTAGCGAGCGACGACAGCGTCGTACAGGGCCTTAGCGGATTTGCAGTCGCCAAAATGCTCTAGCTCAGCTAACGGCAGGTGACTGCGAATGGCTAGGCGAGCAGCTGCGTCACGAGTCTGCCAGTGGGAACGAACACTAAGCTCAGCTGTGGCAGGAGGGGCAGGCGCAGCACCAGACGCGTAGTTTTAGAGCGACACATGCTCCTTGCTATCGCTCAGGAGAAACAGCTGCAGGTCATCTAGCCAAGCGGTGAAACGCACAGGGCGGCCCTCAGCATCGAACGACAGCACGCGAATGGAAGCCATAGCGACAGTGTGACAGAGTAACGCAAGCTGCCGCAGCAGGGGAAGGCGACTGTGCACGGATAGAGAGCAGCGGGCGAGGCTGGCGCTACGGGCAGGCGGCGCTGCAAGCGGTCAGTGCGACGGGAGGGCGACGCTGCGAGCGGGCAGCGCGGCGGACGGGCCGGGAAGCGGGCAGCGCGGCGGGCAGGCGGCGCTGCAAGCGGGCAGCACGGCGGGCGGGCGACGCTGCGAGGCGGGCGGGCCGCGAAGCGGGCAGCGGGCGGGCGGGCGGGCTGCGAAGCGGGCAGCGGGGCGAGCGGGCTGCGATGCGAGCGGGCCGCGAAGTGGGCAGCGAGCGGGCGGGCGGGCTGCGAAGTGGGCGGGCCGCGAAGCGGGCAGCGGGGCGAGCGGGCTGCGAGGCGGGCGGGCCGCGAAGCGGGCAGCGAGCGGGCAGGCGGCTGCGAAGTGGCGGGCCGCGAAGCGGGCAGCGAGCGAGCGGGCTGCGAAGCGGGCGGGCCGCGAAGCGGGCAGCGAGCGAGCGGGCTGCGAAGCGGGCGGGCCGCGGAGCGGGCAGCGAGCGGGCGGGCGGGCTGCGTAGCGAGCGGGCCGCGAAGCGGGCAGCGAGCGGGCGGGCTGCGAGCGGGCGGCTCGGCGAGGGGCGCGCGAGGGCGCTAGTGAGGGGCGCGCGAGGGCGCTAGTGAGGGGCGCGCGAGGGCGCTAGCAAGGGGCGCGCGAGGGCGCTAACAAAGGGGCGCGCGAGGGCGCTAACGAAGGGGCGCGCGAGGGCGCTAACGTGGGTGCGCGCGAGGGCGCTAACGAGGGTGCGCGCGAGGGCGCTAACGAGGGCGCACGAGGGCGCTACGAGGCTAGGGCACGGGGTAGCGTGGTAACCGCATGCGAGCGGTGGTGGGCCCTAAAAAAACGATCGGTAGGTCCTAGGGACCTCCTGCTCTGAATACCATGTCCGAATCCCTAGGCAAGAATGAATGAACTAACAGGAGTTTGGGTACAAATGTGAAACCCTAGTTGGGGTTGTACCCCATACTGGCTACCCCACTACAGCCTACAAGCATAATACAGTTTAACAGCATGTCATATGGGGTACAGTTGTTAGGGTTAGGTTTATGTACCCCAACCAACATTGTAAATGCATTATTCTCGTTCTTGACACAGAGCAGTGCAGAAACGCTGATGATCACCAGACCCTAGGGCCTTGGTGAAGACAACAGCTGTGTTGGCTTGTGAGGCTACGTAAGCAAGTCGAAGCTGACCATGCCGCTGCAGCTCTCGTGCGAGGAAGTAACGCAGAACGATGCGCTTCTGTTTCCAACAAAAGGCAATCATGGCCTTGTTGTCAACGTACAGGACTGGAGGTGAACGACTACGCTCACCCAAGTCGGTCAGCAGGTAGGTCAGCCAGCGTAACTCCTGTGCAGCCATGGCCCCCGCGTAGATCAGAGCTATTAACCATACCCAAGTGGGGCACCTAAGTCGGGCAAACTCCTGGTACAATATTAGTATATTATAAAACACAAAACAATATTTGTTGTATAATACAAATCTTATTCCATGAAGAACATTGTGAACCTGCATGGCACTGTGTTTACAACGGGTCTGTCTTTGTTTCCGTCAGAAAATCTCGTTCTCGTACACGTCATGCTCAACCCCTGCACGCGAATTTGCCATGCACCGGATGGAAAGTTTGCACCTGTGTTTTTTTCCCTAGCCAGTTGCATCCACGTTGCAAGCACCTCGTGCAAGTTGCAGCGATTCTGAACTAGGGACTAAAGTCAAACTGAAGAGACTGAAGTCAAAATGTCAACGGAGAAGTTACAATTACCTTATAAGCACCTAACGAATATTTTTTTGCTTGCTGCGAACTGACGAAACCTTTGCGATATGCACAGAATCACTTACACCTTAATCCGCCTTATTTTCAAAGCCTCGGTGGTGTTTTTAAAGAGACCCTAAACACTTTTTTGTCTAGTGAGATAGACACCCAAAGATTACAGGGATATCATAAAGTACGGAAGGTCATCCAATGTGACGAAAATCGCACTTAGGATTGCGATTGAGCGGGCGGTTTGGCAATGACGAAGTTGCTGGCTACAGTTAACTCGCGTGGGGTTTGCGCGTCTATCCAACCGCTGATATTCAGTCTACTTTAACTACCCCCATGACCTAGCCTGACCTAGGGTAGTTCTCCTAGGGTTTGAAGATAACGGCGTTGAAAATAAAGCGTAACAGGTGTACAAGCACCCTTCACAAGGCAACCTAGGGTTAGTCAAACGAGCATCTTGTGTATCGGCTAGCGTTTGTCGGCTAGCGTTTAGCCTGAGTTTGGGGGAAAGCTCTACTGAGTTTCTTCCATCGCAAGGTTGTTGCGTTATCGCCGCACCACCCACGGAATTGTCGCACATCTTGTATGTACGACCCGCCGACCACTCTCTTCACGAAAGCTCGATAGTATACGACGGAACATTCGCAGAACGACCTAGCTTGCGACAGTCAAACTTGTCGCGTCCCGTGTTTTACACGGTGGAAATGTCATTTTCGCGCCTCGAGCTGCACCACTTCGTGGAAGGTCCATCCAGCCAGAATTTCAGGGACCCGCATCCAGCAGACAAATTTGTTCGCCTGACAACCAATGCCTTGCAACTGTTTTGTGGGAACGCATACAAAGCGCGATGACAAGCAGATTTCGACACAACCACCACTTCTCCTATTGCGTCTACCAGTGCAACTATCGATCAGCCAACGCAGTTCAGCTTCTTCCTCACAGCCAAAGCATAACGGACACCAGCTTGGAACATCGTCATTTTTTCAGCTTCCGATATATTAGAACTTTGGATTCAGTATTAGCCGCATTAAGTTTACGTTAGTATGGATTCCCTCATTTCTTGCTCTGCACCCTTTGAAGTTGCGAAGGAATTCCTAGACACCGAAATGGAGCAGCTGACGAAAGCCGACATTAGCGATCGTCAATGCAAGCTTACTCCCGCGAAGGGCCTATTTCTCCCAACGCACAGTTTCGGAGGGAATAACGTGTGGAGCACTTTCCCCAGCAGCACGAATTCGGACGACCACGAATGCGCTACTAATGCAACCAGCAGCGATAGGAGTCGTCGCTCGAAGCTCGAGATTGACGTAAGCGACAGTATTAGCGACTGCAGCGACGTGTGCGACGATGCGAACGACGCTGCGAGCGACGATTCGTCAGACGAGACCTGCTCCAACGCGTCAACATTCTTCTCGCCGCGCTCCGCGGCCTCGAATGGTGACTCGTCAGGTCGCGCGTCGCCGCGGTCCGTGTTGCGGCGAAATCGCGCCTTCCATCATCGGGGAGTCGCCGACATTGACAACGATTACTTTGAAACGGAGAGGCGCCCGCGGCCTGAAACCCTAAGCGGAGTCCGCGGCGCGTGTTCTGACCGGCAGATAATCGAGAAGATTGAGCTTCCGGAAGACCTGTACACACACGAGATCCCCGCTTCCTTCACGAAGCTCCAGCACAACACATTGTCCCCAAATCCTACGGGGAATACTTTCTCCTCTAATAAAACGGGTCGCATGGGCGCTCTGGGTCAGCCCACTGGTTTCCCTGCCGTGCACGTGACAGGCGCTCCTGTGTTCCCGCCATCTTACCATGGTTCCGTGGGATTCCCTCCCCAGCTTCTGGTGCAGCAGCAGATGAACCAGATGTACTGGCAGCAGATGCACTTGAACCAGATGCACCTGAGCCAAATGCACCTGAACCAGATGCACCAGAACCAGGCGCGGCTTCAGCAGGCAGTGTACCTCCAGCATCAGCAACAGAGGGAGTGGATGGAGCAGCAGCATAAGCATTTGCCTGTTGAGATTGAGAGGAATGGAGGAGAGAGGAGGAGGTTCCAGCCACCACGCTTCCTCCAGCCTCAAAGCGCTGCAGGCACTGGGGTCTTTATCCCCCCCAGGCATGATGGACTGGTATATACTAGCTGAATTATTGGATGCTGCTGCTGGTTACCATGTACACAATACATCTGGTAACCATCAGCAGCATACCAATGTCATGAGACTGTTTTTTGTAATGATGGTAATGTGCTTGTACTGCTTGCTTTAGAATCTATGTTCAAGGGGCTCATCAATCATGTATAGAAATAATGAGCTAATCTTCTTATATTTATTTTGTGTAATGTGAACCATTTTTGTAATTTGGCTGAAGCGTTGTTAGCAGTGTGTTTTTGCTGCACCGAGAGGAGGCAGTTCGCGTGATTGGCCATCGCCATCGTGGCATGAATTTTGCGGCTCCTGCGTGGTTGCCACTGGCCAGGGAGTGCCTTCGAGCAGAACTGCTTCCACGTGGAACTCGAGGGCCACATGCACGGGCCCCATTCATCCCAAAATGCGTTAACTCTTTGAGATAATTCGCAAATGAGTCGTGATGTCTCGCGAGGACCCCACAGCTTCGAGATTTTGTTGCGCTGCAGCAATTCGCTAGACCTCACGAATACTGGTTACGCGTTTTTCGCGACGTTCGTGCAAACCACAGCCACAGCTTCCTCGTGAACTTCATCTGTTGTGGATCCTTCAGAACTCCAGCCTTTCTGCTGCTGAAAAACTTCAGAAACTGGATTTCTAGAGAACTTCAGCTCTTCGGTACAGTATATGACTTTCAGACTAAAACTTCCTCGTGTACTCCCACTTCGTCTCCGCATTTTATCAACTTCGACTACATTATCCTGGTTCCTTTTGAAGGAACCAAGGACGAGCGGCTGATCGTTCGTCTCCTTCGTTGGAGATTAATGAGTGTTCCCCCTATTCCTTTCACATCGACCTGCGTTGCTCCTAAACGCTCTACTTGGCTCTAGTTCCACTTCCCAGTCCTTGCTTACATGGCTTCATCCGGTCCGTTGGCTGCATTAGGTATCAAGACTTCTTTCGTTACGCAGACCACCAGTCCCATTCCTCCCACCACCAACAACCATGCTTCCACGCTGCGGTCTTCTAGTCCCTTCCACACACCCTCTCCAAGCTTCAAATCCCACGATTCTTTTCACGCCGTAACCTCGTTAAGAGCATACTTGGCCGACTTCGCCTCAAGGAACAGCATGCTGCAACGGGGAAACCGCAAAAACAACCGTCGAGCGCCGAAGGTTTCCTCACACTTCCACGAATCTCCCGCTTCCCGTCAGAGCTTCGTGCATTTCGAGTCGGCCCATAAGTCCGTGCGAGCAGCTGGGAGCCATGTCGCAGCCGCGGCGAGCGACGTCGCAGCTGCTGCTGCGAGCGTCGCAGAAGCGTCGCTGGACGAGCGGGTGGAGCTTGGCGCGCTTCAGGGCCGGGCAAGGGAGGAAGCGGAGGCCATGCAAGCTGCCGTCTTTCAGGCTGCGCAGGAACTCGATGCTGTAGCGGCAGAGGCAGTAGCTGCTGCTGCTTCTACAGAGGGAGAGGGAGAGACGAGGGAGGAGAGGGGACAGGGTTTAGGCGGCGGGTCCGTGCATGGTAGGGCGCGGACGAAGCGGTTGTTGCAGTGGGCGCGGGAGCTACATGGCGGAACTCCCCCCTCGACTGCGCTGCGGGCGCGGGAGAATCGTGTCATGGGCTGCGTCGCGCAGGTGTGGCTCCACGTGGAACTTGAGGAAGACACGTCATCATTCGACGGCGCGGAACTCTCCCGCCTCAAACTCCGACTGCAGGCCGATAGCGACTCGGATCTGACACGTGGCATCTGTCAGCTCCTTGTAGGGATCTTTAACGGCCGCAGCGTCAGCGCCGCGCTAGCGCTAGATTCTAATGGACCAGCAGTTAAAGCCCTCTCTGCCGCCCTAAAACCCGCCGCAGCCGCCACAGCCGCGGGCGCAACTGCCTCTAAAGCCGCTCCCGCTGTACGCACATCCACCTTTGTAAGCCTCCTCCTTTCCCTGCAAAAACGCGCTCGCGCCCTCGCGGCGGCGGCGCTCGGACGGACTCCGTCAGTGGCTCCGTTACCGTCAATCGTGATCGGCCGGGGCGGGACGATCACCGCTCGCGGGGATTTCGCGGTTACCCAGGCGCAGTATCTCCGTCCGAACGACGCGGCAGTCGCGGCGCTAGTTAAGGAGCTATCTAGCAAGCGCATCGGCGTCGTGGCGCATTTCTACATGGACGCGGAAGTTCAGGGCGTGTTGGTCGCGGCGCGTAAATCCTGGCCGCACATCAAGATCTCGGATTCGCTGGTGATGGCGGACGGAGCGCTGAAGATGGCGCAAGAGGGGTGTGACTATATCGCGGTCCTGGGGGTGGATTTTATGGCTGAGAACGTGCGGTGCGTGCTTGAAAAGGGCGGCTTCGCGCACGTGCCTGTTGTGCGAATGGCGGCGTCCCCCATCGGGTGCTCCTTGGCGGACGCGGCGCGGAGCGACGCGTATGAGAGGTATCTTAAGGAGGCGTCGACGGTGCCTAAGTCGCTGCACGTGATCTATATCAACACGGCGCTGGATACTAAAGCCGTGGCGCATCATGCGGTGCCGACTATTTCTTGCACGTCGTCGAACGTGGTGCAGACCGTATTGCAGGTAAGCCAGTGTCACCGATATGCTGTCCAGTTGGTGCTGTGTGACTGTTATGTTGTCGAGGCACACAGTGTGGTGTGCCGCTGGTATTTCAAGGAGTGATGGGTGACACAGGGAAGAACGGCTGGTAACACGTGAAATCTTGGATGTTATCATAACAGGTGTTAAAACTAGGAACAAAAAAAACCTTCCCTAACCGCATGATAATGAGCTTGTTTTGAGACGCCTTGAAACGATAGTAGAGGTCGTGAAACGCGGTGTCTGGTATTCCACATCAACCACGTGATAATAAGCTCGTTTTGAGGCGTCTTAAATATAACAGCTGCTAAAACAAGGAACATGATACCTTTTGTAACCAGCCGTTACCACACTCCACCTGCCTCCACGCTCCACTCCCCACCTCCACACTCCCTCACCTCCCCCTCTCGCCCGTCTGGTCCTGTTACTCGTTGCCCTCGCCCCCTCATCTTGTTTCTCGTTCCTTGGTCCCGCCCCCCTCCTCCCTCCCCTCCCTCACCTCCCCCTCTCGCCCGTCTGGTCCTGTTACTCGTTGTCCTCGCTCCTTCCTCACCTTAGTTACTCGGTCTAAAATGTCGGTGAATCTCCCGATGTAAACCGTTGGTCCGGACATTTCTTCTCTTTCCCCCCTCCTCCCATTCACCAACCCACCCCCAACCCACCCCCAACCCAACCTCCTTTCTCCTCCCCGCCCCGCCCACCCCCCATTCGTTCCTACGTATATAAATATATATATTTTTTCCCTGTTTTCTTGGCACATGTTAAATCCATGCCAGGCATTCGCCCAAGTTCCGGACCTGACCCTTTGGTACGGACCAGACACATACATGGGAGCGAATCTGGTCGAGATGCTTCAGCAGCTCTCTTCCGTACCTGATGATGAGGTTCGGTTGCTTCACCCGGATCACTCCCAAGCCTCGCTACGCGCGCTCCTGCCTCGGATAAGATACTTCCAGGAAGGTGCCTGCATTGTCCATGATATGTTCGGGCAGGAGGTTGTTTCGCGGCTCCGGGCGGCATATTCCGACGCTTTCCACACCGCACATTTCGAGGTGCCCGGCGAAATGTTTGCGCTGGCGATGGAGGCTCGTGCAAGGGGTCGTGGCACTGTTGGGTCAACGCAAAACATTTTGGATTTTGTAACTGCCCGAACGAGGGAGGCGTTGGAGAGAGGGTATGAAGGGGAGAGGTTACAGTTTGTGTTGGGGACGGAGACTGGTATGGTTACCAGCATTGTGCAAGCGGTGCAGGACGAATTGGCGAAGGTTGAGAGCGGTTCGGATGGTGCTGCTGACGTGGAGGTAGAGATAGTTTTTCCTGTAGACAGCTCGGCAGTTGCTTCGACTAAGGAGGATGGGGGAAATAACGGCAGCAGCAGCAGCAGTGGAAGTGGGGGCAACGGCAAGACAGCAGGGTCGGTGGCAGCAGCAATGCTGCCGGTGGTGCCAGGCGTCAAGGGCGGGGAAGGGTGCTCTGTCACTGGTGGCTGCGCCTCGTGCCCATACATGAAGGTGAGAGGAAACTTCTGAGTTCACTTCAAAAACATCTGAGTCAACTCAAAAAGCAGCAGGGTCGGTGGCAGCAGGGATGCTGCCTGTGGTGCCAGGCGTTAAGGGACGAAAAGGGTGCTCTGTCACTGGGGGCTGCGCCTCGTGCCCGTATATGAAGGTGAGTTGGCTTAAAAAGAGGACAACGGGGGGGGGGGAGGATGGGGAGGAGAAATGGGGGGATTTGAGAGGGGTTTGGGGAACACATGTGCAGGCGGGGAAGGGTGCTCTGTCATGGGGGCTGCGCCTCGTGCCCGTATATGAAGGTGAGTTGGCTAAAAAGGATGGGGAATAGGGGGAATGGTTGTGGAGGAGGGGAGCTACACACACAGGGATGGCAGGAGTGGTTGCTCTGTCATGGATGGGGGGCTGTGCCTCATGCCCGTATATGGAGGTGAGAGGGTGAGGGTTGTTGGGGGAGATAGAAGGAGGAGGGGAAACACACACGTACGCAGCATGTGAAAAGGGGAGAAGCTTGATGTGGTGGGGTACGATGCTCGGATCCACTGATGAAGGCTAAGCAAAGACCCCTGGGACCCCTGGGACCCCTGGGACTTGGAATCGCTCCATGTGGAAAGGGATGAAGCCTGATTTGGTGGGGTACGATGCTCTCTTGCCCTTCATTCGCGTGTGTGGTTCTCATTCGCGTGAGGGTCCTCACTCTATCCCTCTTTGTTACGTAACTCCCATTCCCTCATGTTCCCCCCCCCCCGGATGAACTCTCTAGACGCTGTACTAATGTCTGTCTGCCACATGCCGGGCGAAGACGAAGCTCTCACACGCCCGTCGTTCATGTGTATGGTGCTCACTATGTCCCTCTCCATCACTCCCATTCCACTTTTCTTGCCTTTCTCCCTCAGATGAACTTCCTAGACGCCCTGATGTCTGTCTGCCACGTGCTCTCACACACCCGTTCGTGTGTATGGTGCTCACTCCATCCCTCTCTGTCACTCCCATTCCCCCTCTTTTGCCTTTTCCCCCTCAGATGAACTCCCTAGACGCCCTCATGTCTGTCTGCCACATGCTGGGTCAAGAGGATGCCCTCACGCGCCTGGCGCCGTACGAGCCTGACAAGTTTGCCGAGCCTCTTGGTCCGGGCACGGTGGCAGACCTGGGGTACTTGCCGATCCTCCACATGAGGCATTTCCAGGTATGGAATCGTGCCACAGCACAGCATTCCATGGCACCATGTGTCGGACTGACATTTCAGCGCTTAGATACCTCTTAAATAGCAGTTTATGTTATCCCCATCAATTTTGTGACGCCTCGGAAGACATTTCCAGGTATGGTGCTGTGGCTCCATGTGTCCCACAGATGTCATGCATCACCCCAGGCACGACCATGACTCTGTTATAATGCTTCTATAGCTAGTTTCGGATGTGGTTACATGGCTGCATGCATGTGTCCTACACATGTCATGCAGAACCTCTGGGCATGATCATAACTTCATCACACACATGCGTGAGCAGAATCCTAAAAGATGGTTTTTGAGAATTCTCAAAAACCATCTGCAGCAACATGAATTGATCATGGCTACATGGATGTACATCAATACTAGCATACACCTGCATCTTAAGAACCATTACAAGACAGTGCAGTGCAATGGTACCACCCATGAGATTTTATGCAAATCTGAAATTAATGGCCGCGTGATAGATCTGCCACGCTCTTATGAGCACAAAAGTGGGTGCTTGCCCATCTCCCAGCTATTCCCACGTTTCCGGCCTCCCTTTCCCCTTCCCCCCTCTCCTATCTGTCCCTTGTTGCCCCCACCCCACCCTCCTGATTTTTCTGTACAGAGCTGTTCTTATTTTCCTCGTTGCCCTGCTGTTACCCTGCTGCCTATTTGTTTGTATGTTTGTTTGTTTGCTTGCTTGTTTTTCTCGTTTCTGGTTTCCCGATTCCCTTTCCCTTTCCCCCTCTCCCATCTGTCCCTCGTCGTCCCCGCCCCACCCCACCCCACTTCCTGACCTGTCTGCCCCTCCCCCTGTTCTTACCAACGTTTCCTGCTTCCCCTTCCCGCTCTCGCATCTGCCTTTTGTCGTTCCCATCCCACCCCACCGCGCCTCACCCCACCCCACCCCGTTGACCCGTCTGCGAACCTGACCTGTCTGATTCTTGCCAACCGCCCCACCCAATCCCACCCAATCCCACCCCACCCCAATGATGTGTCTGCAGAAAACGGCGATCTGAAGAGCTGGTTGCCTACATATGACGTGGAGACCGAGTCAGCATAAACCCATCCAATGATAAACAATGATCCCTGTCCTTGACATTCATACCTGACTTCTGCTATCATTGTTTCACCCCCACCCACCCCACCCCCCTGATCTGTGAGCAGAAAACGGGGCGATTGTCCGAAGAGCTGGTTGCAGACATATTGACAAGGAACTTAAGTCAGCATGAGCCCATGCAATGATTGAATGGACGAACCCTGCCTTGACAACATTTAGGCCTGAACTCATCTATTCATTCCTGTCTTCTGCTATGCCTGAGTTCGTGCCTAGCATTGGGTGGTACTTGTGTTCACTGTGCTTGTGTGGCGATTGAAGGCATAGAAGGTTTGCATCTGATTCGTGCAATACAATGGGTTGGCTGTTTCGCCCTGTGGATCATGATGGCTGTTTTGGGGAGGAAGTCATGCTTGCAATTCGTTAGAAATTAAAGGTAATCGCACATTAGTTGCTCAATTTTGTTCTTGTAGGCGTAGGAAGGCCTGGAAGTGTGTATTGAATGACCCAACCAAATATCTCAATGCCTTCTGAGTGGAATATGCACAAAGACTGTACTGGTATCTGCAGCGCGCCCAAGCCCAAGCACACATATAACAGCGTCAGCAAGGGGTTCTGCGCAGTGCCAGGAAACTTCGCTTGCAGTGAACAAATGCGCAACAGCGCATCCTCTTGTTCCGCTGCTTCGGCCAGCATGGAATCTCGACCAGATGAGAGCCAATGAATCTGACACGTCATTCCATGTGCGAAGCCAGCAACCATTGATATTAGCAACAGTGTCCCGATTTTTTGGGCCTCGAGCTGTGCCCTGACTCCCTGAATTCGTGGGCCCCTGGTGCCTGGATTTTCCCTCCCTAGAGAACACGGATCCAAGCAAGCAGACTGGCCCAAGCGGGAATTGGTGGTGTTCCGCCAATCAGAGGAAGTACATCTTACTGTACTTGCGCAAACTCCGCAAACCCTTGGCCCCCCCAGCCCAGCCCAGACCAGCCCAGCCGAGCCTTATCCGGACCGAGTTTTGTGGGTTCGTGATCAGGCAACAAAGCCGCTAATTTCCAAAAACCGTCCAATCCCAGCGTCCCAATACCTTCGATCATCTCCGAAGCAAACCTCGTACAGAAGGTCGACCTTCGTCCGAACCTCAGCCCCTGTCAGCCTGCGCTTTGAAGTTCCATGGCCTTGATCTGTGGCGCTAAGGGCGCGTGTCTTTTGGTGTAGATTGTCAAAGTTTGAGCCTAATACCACTTTGTACCGTGACGACACAACTCTCAAATGTATCCTACCGTGTAGAACCTTTCTAAAAGTTCGAACTTTGGCAAAAGTTCGACCTCAAGGACACCCGCCCTAACTAGCTAACCTGTTTTGGCAGTGGTGCCCCACAAGACAAGCCGACTTCTCTCCCTCTTGCCCCTTCTTCCCCCTTTCCCTCCACACCCCCTCAATTCCCCCATTTCCTTCCACAGAAACTTGATCAGCCAGTGTCCTCCAATCAATTCCAAGGCCCTGGTTTCCCTGACCGTTCTCATTGGTGTTTATTGGGACTAGCATTCTCCTTTCAGGATTGCTTCTCCTTAGTAGATCCCTGACACAGAGTATCTGGAAGTTCTTGAGATTTTGTGAAGGTCTGGCAGAGATGGATCTGCTAATGCTCGTATCGAGCGTTTTCCGCGCTGACATCTCGATATCCCCGGCCCAGGCTACATGGTTCGGGGTAGCTGCTGCAGTGGCCGTTGTCGGGGCAACTACCTTCGTCCTTTCATCCATTGGCAAGCCCGAGGTGAAAGGCAAATCTACCACAGAGCTCAGCGGAGGAAAGCTGAAGAAAGATGAAGTGGCTAACGGCTGGACTAACTACGACAAATACTTCCAACAAAATCCTGGCGAAGGAGTCACGGAGAAGAGCCAAGCTCCTCAATTTGTCGACACATTCTACAATCTCGTGACCGACATTTACGAATGGGGTTGGGGTCAGAGCTTCCATTTCTCGCCTGCTCTCCCCGGGAAGTCCGATAGGGAGGCGACGATTGCTCATGAAGAGTACATTGCGACTATCTTGAAGCTTAAGCCTGGAATGAAGGTTCTGGATGCGGGATGCGGGGTCGGAGGACCAATGCGGGCGATCGCGGCTAAGTCCGGAGCGAATGTTACTGGAATTACTATTAACGAGTATCAAGTGGAGCGTGCTCAGCAGCACAATGCCCGGAGAGGGCTGGACAAGCTGTGCACGGTGGTTCAAGGGAACTTCCTCGAGCTACCATTTGAGGATAACAGTTTTGATGCTGCTTATTCCATCGAGGCTACCTGCCATGCTCCCAAGCTGACTGACGTCTACGGCGAGATCTTCCGCGTGCTGAAGCCCGGCCAGCTGTACGCAACGTACGAGTGGGTGAAAACGCACAAGTACGACCCTGAGAACAAGGAGCACGTTAAGATTATTGACGACATCTGCTACGGGAACGCGCTTCCGGAGCTCCGATCTTACAAGGAGATCGTGGAAGCTGCTGAAGCGGTGGGGTTCGAGGTTATCGACAACAGGGATGTTGCAGCTCCTCCTGCGCTTCCCTGGTGGACTCGCCTCAAGATCGGCCGTATCGCGTATGCTCGCAATCACCTGCTCGTGAAGATCGTGTCAATGCTGAACATTGCTCCCAAGGGATTGTTGGACGTTCACAACATGCTGACGACGGTCGCTGTGCACCTGACACAAGGAGGAGAGACCGGGATCTTCACTCCCGCACACCTGCTGCTGCTCCGGAAACCCGCTGCGCCGGCCTCCACTTAAATGTACGTACACTTGTGACACCCTTTAATTTTCTGTCCTGAATCTGACTTCAAATCGTCAGATCTAGGATATGACTTAAAGGAATGTTAAATATTGATTATCCTCATTTCTGTCTTGCTCCCTTTCCCCCCTTTCCACCCCTCCTTCCCTATTCCCCTCCCTGGCCAACTCCAGTATGACTCTGTCGCCTACCTGAGTGTTCAACCATGAATAACCCGATGACCATCGCACGCACTCGCGGGTGCTGTCGCGGGTGTTTAGTTCGCGTGTGGGACGGTGTGTGATCCTGTTTTTCCTTTTTTATTGTGTGCTCTTTAACGTATTCCGCATCGCTCTCGCGTACTCTGTAGCGTAGCATGCGTGCGAGTGTGAGAGAGGTGCCAAGAGGGACCTGTTTGTGGGCCAAAACCCGCTGATCCGTAGACGTTCTTCGTCGTCAGCTTGTGTGACCTTGGGTTTGTGTTATTTAACGAGCAAAGCCGAATTCTTGGTGAACGACTCTAACAACCTGCAACATGGATGCCTGTCGTTTTGAAAGTTCCCAGTTGAAAAATCGAACAGCTCAACCCCATTCCTCGCTTCCACGGCCTCGAACTGCCGCCTGTCTTTATCTCCTCGCATTCCCTGCAAATCGACCCTCCTTTTTCCATTGGCCTCGACTCACCACATTCCTTTCCTCTCATATCCCTCACGTCTCCTCTCCCCCTCTCTATCCCTTAATCGTCCCCACCTTGACGCTGTCTCCGGCCTGCCGTCCCCCACTTTCTCCGTCCTTCGTCTCTTATACCCGAAACCCCGAACCGTTCGCCGTGTCTCCTGTTCCCCGCCCGCCTACTACACTATTTCCCTCCCCTTCCCCATTTACCGATCCCTCACCGCGCCGTTTCTCAATCTCTCTGCCCTCTTCAACTCCCCCCTCCTTTCCTCGTTAACCACACCTTCCTCCCTGCTATTTCCTTTTCCACCCCTCCTCCACCCCTCCTTCCCTCTTCCACCCCCCTTCCACCCCTCCCATTCCCTCTTCCACCCCTTATCCCCTCCCCCTGTCATTCTGGGTTGCTTTCCATTACTTCTCCCTTCAATGCTGTTGCCCATCCACTCTCTCCCCCATTCCCTTCCTCACATCTTGTTCTCCATTCCCTCTTCTCACCCGTCGCTCCCTCTCGTTTTCCTTTGCTTTTCACACTTCTCCCTTCCTGCCTTCTCCATTCATTCGTCACTTAACCTCCCTTGAGGCATCCGCTTGATGTTTGCTCCCTCGTCTCCCTCGCTCGCTTCCGCTCCACCACCCCATCCTCCCCTCCTTCCATCCCTCCTCCCTCCCTCCCAGCCACCCTCCCTCTCTCCTTCTCTCATTTCCTCCCTCCCTCCTGCTCTCTGTCTTTCTCTCTCCGCAACTCACTCTCTCCCTCTCTCTCCCTCCAATTCTTACTTCCTCCCTCCCTTTCCCCCTTCGTCCCTCTGCTCCCTCCGTCCGTGCGACCGTCTGATCTTCGTTTTTTCCGCTCCCCCCTCTCTCCCTCTCTCCCTACACCCTCCCCCCCCCTGCATCCACATCTTTCTATCCCTTCGTTCCAATGCGCTGCCATATACTTTCATATCTGTTAGAGACCTCCTTCCTGGCCCCCCTCCGTACGCCCCCCTCTCCTGCCCTCCCTTCCAACCACCTACGTCTCTCACTCCTATACTTTTAACCCCACCTTTCCGGACATACCACTCCCGCACTTTTACTTTCGGCCTCCTCTCCTTCCCACTCGCCTACTCACACGGTGCATCTGCTACTCCGCCCAAGTTCTACTACCTAAGCATCTTTACACAGCATGCATGTGTGCCTATGGTCGCTTACATGCTGAAAAACATTTACTCGTTGGGTAGCTGTGCCAGCGTTGACTCGTTAGAGGGTAGCTGTGCCAGAGAATCACTTCCTCGCTGCATACTTCAGGATGGGGTGTTTTGGAAGTGCCCACGTTGAAATTGTTCCTCAAGCTTTTCTTCGTATCTAAGGGCGTATTCCTACGACTTCCTATCAAGAATCCTCCTCTCAAGAATGTAGTTTGACATCGTGTACGTTTTAAAACGCCAGTTATCAAGATTGGAATGATTGAGCGAACCAATAGAAATGGTCGCAGGGTGTCGCGTGAACGTGATGACTTCCCGGAACACGGTTCCCTCTAACGAACAGACGTCAGGCCAGGGTATGCGGCAGTCACCAATTCGTGCCATGCTGGACGATGTGGCGGTCGTGCGCTGCGCGCGAACGTGCACGGAATGCAAATTTTGGGAGGAATTTTCACACCTGGCGCCACGCGACACGTATACCACCCCCAGCACGTCAAGCACTTCACGAGCCCTCTCGTCCAAACACACATGACACAGAGCATGTCAAGCTGGGTCGCAGCGTGCCACATCAGCGTTTGTTTTGGGTCGCACATGTGGGGAAACCGTCAAGTTTTGTTGATAGGAGGTTGAGCGAGCTTGCAAATTTACAGGCGAGAACTACATTCTTGATAGGAAGATTCTTGATAGGAGGTCGTAAGAGAAAGATGCTTTCCACAATGCATATGTTGAACACATAGATGGAAGAAACACAAGGGATATACCTCACACTTACAGAATCAATGTTAGTGCGGTAACGCTCTTATATAAAACATTTTTGCACAGGATAAGGACAGTAACATGGTGGCAACCTGATTAGACCTGTTTCAATTCCAACATGGCAGAGCTTCTAATTCGTTCCTTTCGCCACACACAGGCAATCCTTGGCGTTACTATGGTGCAAGCCCGATTGTCCCACTTTGCAACTGCAGCTCTTTCAAGTTTACTAGCTTCACAACATCAACTTGGGACTTGGGCTTTAAAATTTTCAGGGGTTTTCACAACTAATAATCGGCATTGCAGCAAGAGATTGGCAGCATTAGTATTTACACATTGTTGACAAGATTCACACTGGGCTGGGCTGTATAGGGAAGCACTACCACTCCACTGTTCTGGCGTTTGCACCACTGTGAAGCTTCTGTTTATGTTCTGCCTCCAGTTCCTCCTGCAATACAGGGGAGGGGATGATGCAGACAGGGCCAAAAGTCGCAACAATTTTGAAGTAGGAATAGCACAGGTGTTAAAATATGTAGTTAAGATAGTCGGGATTACACAGCTGATTCATTACCTTGGAGGCAGCAAGCAATGGCCGCAGGAAGGTGCTTCGGAAGATTTCCATGAAGGGAGCGAGTGATGTCGACTCAATGCCTGCAGTGGAGCAAGTAAGCGAGAGCGAGAGAGAGCCAGAACATTGCACAAGATACGGAGCCAAAGATCCGGAGCCAAAGATACGGAGCCAAAGATACGGAGCCAAAGATACGGAGCCAAAGATACGGAGCCAAAGATACGGAGCCAAAGATACGGAGCCAAAGATACGGAGCCAAAGATACGGAGCCAAAGATACGGAGCCAAAGATACGGAGCCAAAGATTCGGAGCCAAAGATACGGAGCCAAAGATACGGAGCCAAAGCAACGCAGAAAAGTTCATTGCTTAGTCAAAAGCCCACGTATTGAACATCAAATGCAGCAGAGAATGGACAAGGTACGGAACGAAGGACAGAAATAATGGTAGAGGTAAGGAAGGCGAGGAGGAGGAAAAGAAAGACAAACCCCTACCCATGGCCGCAGCAGCGGTGCCATCTGATGCCCGATGAGCTGCATTGATCTCGCCAACCAGCTGTGGAAAGGAACAGGGAGGAAGGAGCGAGGGGTGAGGGAGGAAGAAGAGGAATGGAGGATAAGGAGAGAGAATGAAGGCAACTCCTGTAAGAGGTGCCATCTGATGCCCAATGGACGCATTGGTCTCAACCACTAGCTGAGGGGAGGACAGGGAGGAAGGGGCGAGGGGCGTGGGAGGAAAAGGAGGAACACTGAGGGCAACTCCTGTAAGAGGTGCCATCTAATGCCCAATGGACGCATTGGTCTCAACCACCAGCTGAGGGGAGGAAGGGGTGAGGGAGAAGGAGGATAAGGGAGAAAGGGGTTTACGAGGAAGGGACAGAAGTAAGCTTCACAGGATGCGCTGGCCATCAGGAGAGGTTCAAGGGATTTCCAGCTGTGGACTTTTCATTGGCTTGCTCTGCTGAGTTGACACGAACCAAATATGAGGGAACGAGAGAGAGGGTGAAGAGTAACCGAGTAGTACTCAATTGAGAAAAACCACGTGTAGAGAGGGTGTTTTTGAGACGTCTCAAAAACACCCTCTCTACAAGTAGTACTCAAGTGAGAAAGATGGAGGCACAGAAAATTCGAGAGATGGTGGTACGAGGGACACAACAGCACCTGATTGAGTGTGGGGGCTTGGCTTGGCTCGAAGTCAGCACAGTTGGCCGGGTCGATGGGCACACACACAGCACCTGTGAGAGGGGAGTGAGAAGGGAGATGGGCACACACACAGCACCAGAAATAGAGCACCTGGAAAGTGAGCAAGAAACAGGAGGCAGGGGGATGCGCAAACCAAAGCAGACGCAGGCAGACAGCAGCTCGCTGTTTTCAGGTGCATGCAGAACCACCTGCACCAGTCATTTTGAGTCAACTCAAACGTTTTGATGAGTGGTGCATGTGCAGGACCACCTGTCCACTCAACATGTGGACTTTTGAGTCGACTCAAAAGTCACCTCTGCTTTCAGGCGCATGCAGAACCGTGCTTTTAATGATTGGTGCAGCAACACCTGTCCACGTGGAAGATCACCTGTCCACGTGGAAGATCACCTGTCCACGTGGAAGATCACCTGTCCACTCAACAAGTGGCATTAACACAGGGGAGGGGCTCGAAAGTCACCTGTCTTTGGGTGCAGGCAGAACGGGGCCTTGAGCAAATGGTTCCTGTGCTTCGACACCTGTGAGGAGCAGAGGGACAGAGAGACAGAGGGGCATAGAGACAAAGACGTAGAGATACAGAGGCGTAGAGAAATCAGGAGCGGCCTTTGAGTCAATTCAACGACTTTGAGAGAAGAATGATAATTCTTGCGCCTTGAAAACTGTACGAAGCAATGAGACATAGATGCGTACTGATGCAGTAGATTTTTGAGTCGACTGAAAAATCGACATAGATGCGTACTGATGCAGTAGATTTTTGAGTCGACTGAAAAATCGACATAGATGCGTAGTGATGCAGTAGAGTAGAGACAAGAGGCCCACCAGGCTTAAAAAAAGTAAAGACCTACACACCCACCTCCAGATCCAGGCGAGGGTATGTGAAGGCAAACACTATCTCCTCCACGGCCTTCCTTAGGGTTACATTCTGAAAGGGAGGAAGGGAGAGAGAGGGGTGGGAAGACACAGTCCATTAACAGTGGATTAACAGTGGATTAACAGTCCATTAACAGTACATTAACAGTACATTAACAGTCCATTAACAGTCCATTAACAGTCCATTAACAGTCCATTAACAGTCCATTATGGGAGAACAACTGCAAGAGGTGATACTTCTGTAGCAGCCCAAGCTAGGGTACAACTGAGGGAGGAGTTTACCTTCTTAGAAGATCAATCTAAGGTTCGACTGACGGAGGTGCTTACCTTCCTAGCTGCAGCTCGTGTGGTGGCTTCCAGCTGCTACCACCTGTACTAGTTGACGCTTAGCAGGCCACCTCTGTAACAGCCCAGCCTAAGGTTTCAACTGAGGGAGGTGCTTACCTTCTCAGCAAAGGTTACGACTGAGGGAGTGACGGTAGGGGTTACCTTCTTAGCCGCGGCCCGTGTGGTGGCCACCAGCTGCTGCCACCTGTACACGTTGACGTCAGCAGCTGCTGACGCACGCCTGCTGTCGCCGCGCCACGTGGCATCCATACGATCCTGCAGCTCTGCAGAGAGCGGGGGATTGGGCAAGGGGGGGCGAATAGAGAGAAGGGGGGGGGGGGGGGGAGTTGCAATTAGGCCATCGGGTGCATGAGTAGAGTGGTAACATGGTAACATGTCCCTATTGGCCCCTGTAAATTGCACCTTGTTGTGCACCGGTATCCGGCAGCTTCTGAATCCTCATTTTGACTTTTGAGTCGACTCAAAAATCGACTTATCACACACAGCTGAGTGGTGACATGTCCCTATTGGCCCCTGTAAAATGCACCTTGTGCACCAGTTCTCAGCAGCTTCTGAAGCCTCATTTTGACTGAACTTGGTCTGGCAGCTGGGCAAGCACCCTCATCCACTCGTCCGGTTGGCTCAGCAGCTCTTGATTTGGCAGCTCCCATGTGTTGAATGCACCCGAAACCCTATATATCCCATTTTGATTCTAACTTGGTCTGGCAGCTGGGCAAGCACCCTCATCCACACGTTCGGTTGGCTCACTAGCTCTTGGATGAGCTGCCCGCTTCTTGAACGCGCCCTAAGCCCTATATCCCACCTTCCTTTGGCAGTTAATTAAGCCCCAATGTCATTAAACTTGGTCCGGCAGCTGAGCAAGCGCCCTCTTTCACACGTCCGGTTGGCTCAGCAGCTCTTGGCTGGGCAGCCGCCCTTTTCATCTGTACCTTTTGCACCAGTATGCCGCAGTTGCTCAAGCCCCACCCCCCATCTGATAGGCGCCTCAAAAGTTGTGCAACTGTATCTCGCAGTTGCTCAAACCCCACCCCACTTTTGAGGCGCCTTTTGAGGCGCCTTATGAGGCGCCCTCAGACCCCACCCCACTTTTGAGGCGCCTCAAAAGTTGTGCACCTGTATCTCGCAGATGCTCAAACCCCACCCCACTTTGACTCTGCTTGCTCAGCAGCTCTTGCTTGAGCAGCCGCCTTTTTGAACGCACCCTAAACCTTATATCCCACCTTGGCTGACCTTGGTCTGGCAGCTGATCAAGCACCCCCTCTGGCAGCTGATCAAGTACCCCCTTCCATGCGACTTGTTGGCTCAACAGCTCTTGGTTGGCTCACTAGCTCTTGGTTTGGCAACCCAATTTTCATCACACATTGACCTGACACCCTAGTTCTTTATGTGCAGTCAGTTCGTACCTCCTTCATCCTACCTTGGTCTGGCAACTCAGCAAGCACCCTCTTCGATGTCGTTTTTGAGGCGCCTCAAAAACGACCTTCACCCTACCTTGGTCTGGCAACTCAGCAAGCACCCTCTTCAACGTGTCCAACAGCTATTGGTTGAGCAATCCAATTGTCATCACACATTGACCTGGCACCCTCAGTTTTCACGGGCAGTTTGTCAGTATCGTCTGGACTGTCAGTATCGTCTGGACTGTCAGTATCGTCTGGACTGTCGTATCGTCTGGACTGTCAGTATCGTCTGGACCGTCAGTATCGTCTGGACTGTCAGTATCGTCTGGACTGTCAGTATCGTCTGGACTGTCAGTATCGTCTGGACTGTCAGTATCGTCTGGACTGTCAGTATCGTCTGGACTGTCAGTATCGTCTGGACTGTCAGTATCGTCTGGACTGTCAGTATCGTCTGGACTGTCAGTATCGTCTGGACTGTCAGTATCGTCTTGATCGAGCAGCTGAGCAAGCACCCTCTTTCACACGTCCGGCTGGCTCAGCAGCTAATGCTTTGGCAGCCCCCCTTCTTGAACGTACCTTGCGCACCAGTATCTGGCAGTTGCTTAAGGTGAAAGCCGCACTTCGACTGACCTTGATTGGGCAGCTGAGAAAGCACCCTCTTCCACACGTCCGGTTGGCTCAGCAGCTAATGCTTTGGCAGCCCCCCTTCTTGAACGTACCTTGCGCACCAGTATCTGGCAGAAGCTTAAGGTGAAAGCCACACTTTGACTGACCTTGATTGGGCAGCTGAGCAAGCACCCTCTTTCACACGTCCGGTTGGCTCAGCAGCTCTTGGTGTGGAAATCCCCCTTGTTGATCGCACCTTGTGCACGGGCTAAACCTTGGCAATTACTCAACATCTTCTTCACCCTACCTACCTTGATCGGGCAGCTGGGCAAGCACCCTCTTCCACACGTCCGGCCGGCTCAGCAGCTCTTGGTGTGGCAGCCCCCTTGTTGATCGCACCTTGTGCACGGGCTAAACCTTGGCAATTACTCAACATCTTCTTCACCCTACCTACCTTGATCGGGCAGCTGGGCAAGCACCCTCTTCCACACGTCCGGTTGGCTCAGCAGCTCTTGGTTAGGAAGCCCCCTTGTTGACCTCACCCTAAACCCTGTATCCCACCTTCCTCTGGCAGTTAGTCAGCCCCAACTCGACACTACCTTGATCGGGCAGCTGGGCAAGCACCCTCTTCCACACGTCCGGTTGGCTCAGCAGCTCTTGGTTAGGAAGCCCCCTTGTTGACCGCACCCTAAACCCTATATCCCACCTTCCTCTGGCAGTTAGTCAGCCCCAACTCGACACTACCTTGATCGGGCAGCTGGGCAAGCACCCTCTTCCACACGTCCGGTTGGCTCAGCAGCTCTTGGTTAGGAAGCCCCCTTGTTGACCGCACCCTAAACCCTATATCCCACCTTCCTCTGGCAGTTAGTCAGCCCCAACTCGACACTACCTTGATCGGGCAGCTGGGCAAGCACCCTCTTCCACACGTCCGGTTGGCTCAGCAGCTCTTGGTTGGGCAGCACTTCACCCTCAAACGCGCTCCTCAGTACTTGGTCGTATGCCCTCCTGATGGGAACAGCAAGGGCACGGAACGGATGGTGATAGTACGGTTCAGTGCGGTTCAAATGTGTCCCAGAAGCAGCACTTGGTTGGGCAGCACTTCACCCTGAACGTGCTTCACAGTGCTTGATCGTATGCCTGCCTAACGGGGGCAGACAGGGCGTGACCAAGGAGTGAAAGGAGATTCAGTGCGGTTAAATTCGGTACAATGTATTACAGAAGCTATTTGCTCACATGAGGGAGGGCTGCAGAGCAGCACTGGAGAAAGGAACCTTGCTTCGAGATGTCCCAAAGAATGAATCTCACAAGATGCTTTGCTTACATGAGGGAATGCTTTGCTCTTCATGGGGGTGGAATATTTGCTCACATGAGGGAGGGGTGCAGAGCAGCACCGGAAAAAGACACCTTGCTTCCATTGGCTTCAGTCCCCTGCACATCGTGTTGAGTATGGTGTTTGCATTGTGTTAGTATGCCGTTAGTATGGTGTTTGTATGCTGTTAATATGGTGTTTGTAGAATGTGAGTCGGTAAATCACAATCGACTGAGGCGCACGATAGCGAGTAAACCAATTTAACCTCAAAATGAAGTTTCCCTGCAGATGATGTTACAGGTGCATCAGTAATCAAACAACGATGGTCCCAAATACCTTAAAAACTCAAAAATAATGTTGATTTTACTTTTGAGAATTTCAGAAGTTTTTTTTTTTGAGAACTCTAAAAAGTAAAATCAGCAACGGTGGTCCCAGATACCTTATACACTCGAAAGTAATCAGCCACTGCAGAGCGTTGCTCATTGGTTAATCTGGTGTGGGTTGGGGTAGGGGATGGGGGGAGGATGGGGATGGGGAGGATGGAGATGGGAGGATGGCGATGGGGAGGATGGCGATGGGAAGGGGGGAAAGGGGAGTCAGTCAGACGTGAATTTGAGAACAAGAGAAGCAGTGAGAGCAGAATTTGGTGATAAAGAAAGAACAATGTAATAAACTGCACTCACCTCCTTGCTCGTTCGTCGCACACCCAGCAGGGCATGCCTCCCCCTCCACAAATTCATGCCGGTTCAAAGGGAAAACGAGGCATCAACGTCCTCTCACCTCCTTGCTCGTCTGTCGCACACCCTGCAATGCGCACCTCTTCTGCCACTGAGTTTCGACCCGACTCAAGGAAAAAAGAAGCATTAACTCCCCTCACCTCCTTGCTCGTCTGTCGCACACCCAGCAGTGCACGCCTCTTCTGCCACTGAACACCCACAAGATGTGCTCGAAGCCAAAATCCTCTGGCGGGCGGGAAGTGATATGCACAGCACAGGTCGGGACGGGAGGTGGAGTGCGAGAAAGATCGTGAATACTTGTGTCCCGAACTCCTGCCAATGATTGCACACTCACAAGATGTGCTCGAAGCCAAAATCCTCTGGCGGGCGGGAAGTGATATGCACAGCACAGGTCGGGACGGGAGGTGGAGTGCGAGAAAGATCGTGAATACTTGTGTCCCGAACTCCTGCCAATGATTGCACACTCACAAGATGTGCTCGAAGCCAAAATCCTAGTCGGGCAGGAAGTGATATGCACAGGTGGGGAGGGAGAGTGCCAAGAAAGAGAATAAACTATTCTGAGTCAATAAATTGTGCCTTTGAGTCGACTCAAAAGCAAATTGTGCCCCAAAACTCCTGCCACTGAACGCCCAAAAGGGATGCGCAGTCAAGGGATGTGCTCGAAGTCTTCTGAAAGTACCTCTAAGAGTGGTGTCCACGGCTGTAATAGCCGCTGTCATGATCGGCCAGCACTTTGTGTGTTTTGAGTCGACTCAAAACCGTACCTCTACCTCTAAGAGTGGTGTCGGTACCTTTAATAGCTGCTGTTAAGAGCCGGCAACACTTGTTGTGCTTTGAGTGGAACAGCAAAACGTACCTCTAAGAGCGGTCGGCCAGCACTTGGTGTGTTTTGAGTCGACTCAAAACCGTACCTCTAAGAGCGGTGTCGACGACTTTAATAGCTGCTGTCAAAAGCCGGCAACACTACTTGTGCTTTGAGTGGATAAACAAAACGTACCTCTCAGAGCAGTGTCGACGACTTTAATGGCTGCCGTCATGAGCGGCCAGCACATAGTGCACACCGATGCTCCTGAGCAGCAGGTTCGCACATCGTCGTAGTCGCTTATATCCTGTAACGAGTCAGACAGAAAGGGAGATAATAGAGGCAATGTGCGTCATGGGCAGCCAGCACTTGGTGCACATAAACGCCTTGAGCAGAAGGTTCGCTTATCATCATAATCGCTTATATCCAGCAGTACGAAAGATATCCATATAGCACAGACTGTTTTCCCGGTTCAGCAGGTTCGACCACCGCCGTGGTCGCAAACTTTTTGTAAAGAGAATACAGGGGGAAACTGACATTGTTACCGTGAAAGGCACGGGTACGCTGAAAACACCGGGTGAGTTCTCTGCGTGTGCTTTTTGGGTGTACTAAGACAAAAAGGGATAAGAACGAGAGGTGACAAAAACGAGAAGTGGCAACGTACGATGTCGAAAACAAGCTCCCGTTCCACAGGAGCGAACGCGCTTTCCGACCCGATTCCCTGATACGCCAATCGTCTCGCCGGCTGTTACCATAACGGGAGAATGAAATGACAACAAGGAGGAGTGATTATATCGAACACAGGAGCGACCGCGCTTTCCGACCCGATTTCCTGATACGCCGCCCGTCTCGCCGGCTGTTAGCAGACGGGAAAAAGAGACGATAAGAAAGAGGAGGGACTGTATCGAATACAACGAACACGCACCTACTCGATCCCTTCATACACTGCTCGTCTTTCGCGCTGTCATTGCGAGGGTAGAATTTCTCATAAATTCTCTGAATACGACTTCAATCTCGCCGCCTGTCATCACAGGCATGGTAAAACTCACGCGCGATTAGGAACCTAAAGCTTTTAAAGCGCGCTGAAAAAGGTAACAGCGAGTTTTTACGTACGTCGACGTTGTAGACAGCTCCTATGTCGATCTTATGCGGGTTCTTATCGCGGATGGAGGCTTCCATGTCCGCGGCGTCGCGGAACGACTGGTATCGCACGTAGATGTCGTGCTCTAGAGTGAACGAGAACTCGCGACGCTGGAGATACGACGCGTCGGTTCCGGGAAGTTTCCTGTCGTTGCCGTACGAGAGCCAGCGAGCCATGTCTGCGTAGGGGAAGAGGCGGCGATAGTAGATTCTCAGTAAATCCGTGCTGAAACACGATTCGGCGGCGGACGGTTTCGTATCTCGCGGCTCGGCGACAGCAGCGTCCTTATCTTCTACTTTCGCTGGAGGCTCGGAATGGTCTGCCATGTTCTCGTCGGATAAAATTGGACTACCCATTGATTCGAGCACGGGTCGCAGATTAGACGAGTCAGAAATGAGCCGCACACGGTTTCTAGAAAAGCTGCACGCTGCCGCTGTAAGAGTAGATTTTGGAGATGAAGGGTAGTTTGAAATGGACGCCAGTCGAACAACTTTCGTTCACAGCAGACACTCGAGCTAGCTATCACTAAGTGAATCTCTTCTAGTTGTCAGGAGCAGTGAAACAGCAGGCTTTTGTCAATGGTCATGTCAGGGGACAGAAGGAACAGAAGCAGCGGCACGAAGAGGCTAGCGGAACGGACAGAAAGAACAATTGAAGGGAACCCAGGAAGTTGTGTTTGGCGGGAAACTGTGCAGAAGAGCATTTGAATTTGCAAATACGAACTGATAGGGTCACAGCCGACATCGATATAGTCAGAATCTGATAATATAGATTCAGACAAGTGTTGTAGAATAACGTGGATAGAAACCGTTCAGTCGCATGATTTTCTCGACGACTTGTCGTCAGAGGTTTTGTGGCCAGATTTCTTTCGCCGCGAAATCGCCAGCTTTCGCGTCCAGCAAGGTGGGAGCCTTTGCCCTGACACTTCGGTCTGCCATTGCACCCAACTAAAAACTTCCAAGGTCGTCTGAAACGAGGACGATAAAAGCACGATCATTGTTGTATATATTTTACGCTTAACATAACTTGCATTGATGCCTAATCAGGAAACTATTCTGGCTTCTTGAACTGCCCGCACCGGAAAATCTTTCCCACCAAACCAACCACCGCCATAAAAACCCTCCACCGAGATCTCCACAAGCCATTGGAGCTGCTCGCCTCATCCAGCCTGCTTTCTGCACCTGCACACACACACACACACTGTATCCATCCCATTCCAGCCCAGATAAGGCTCACCTCCCCCAGCTCCATCCAGGACTGGTCTCTTTTGAACCAAGACTACCTATCAGTTCTCTTGATTCTCTTTCTTTGCCTGATTCCGAAGGCACTCGGAGCTGGGTATCGTTAGAGTTACCTTTGGTAGATAGATTCGTCTTCCAGGATGGAGTCGGTTCCGTTAGCTGCCTTAAACGGCGACTTTCCGTACTGTCGCTCGCAGGCAGTCGAAGCTGGTTATAACGAGAATGGATGGGTTGGCGTGGACGGTAGCGGCAAAGGAGGGAAGGCCTCTCATGGCAAGCGCCATGCGAGTCGCTCGTCCGCGCCTTACGCGAGACCTACTTCCGGACGGCACGCTGCCGCTGGCTACGCAGCAGCAGCGTTTCGAACTGCCGCGTCGGCAGCGGGATCTCCGGGGGAATCCCAAGGCCTCGCAGACGCGTTGCAAGAAGCGCCGGGTAGGAATGGCGAAAGGAGTGATGAGCCGAAGCAAGACGGGGTGGGGAGCGCGGGAACCGGCTGGTTTGGTTCGTGGCGGAATTCTATTGGATCGCTCGTCAGATGGCCGTGGAGCTCGCGAGGTACTTATAACGGATCTTAATCTACGGATATACATTTGGCGAGATCGCATCAATGCCGTGAGCTTTGACGATGCGTTTCGCGTGGTCTGATTTACGTTTAGTAACCTAACTTGGAGTTATAGATCCGCTTACTTCACTTTCTAAACCTTAACGCTTATCTGTAGGTTTTCGACGTCTAAAACCGCGTTAGACAGCATTGTTAGACAGCCTAGGCTAGTATCGAGTCGCCGTGTTGACGCACCCCGTCATCAACATTTTCAGTAAATCGCTTAAAATGCATTACCTTTTTCTAATGTTCTGTCCAGACGTTAACCGGCGTAACACGCAAGGCGAGCAGCAAGGCGTGTCGGACAAGCGACCGTCGGACGGCGCAACTAGCAGCGAGCCGGCGGAGGGAGCGAATGCTGCTGATGCTGCTGGTGATATCCGGGATCGACAGGCGGGAGGAAGGAACGGGAAGCAAGGGAACGAAGGCGCAGTGTTGACGGAGGTTGAGCTGCTTCTGAGACGAGGGACGCCGCTTTCGCTGTACGTAACGGTGCAGGTTTACGGGTTACCCTCTATTTCGGGGGTAGGGTATTTCGCGGTTTATTAGTCAGAAAACGGGAAATATGGGGACGAAGGTGCAGTGACGAACGGTCGAGCAGCTGCTGAGACGAGTTACCCCGCTTTTGCTCGACGTAACTCGGATACGCCGGTAAAACGTTTCGTTTGTTTACTGTATACTCGAGGCGGTTGTTTTCGTCATTCATAATCCCCGCAGGTTGTATATAATATAACGTTTAATTGTAAAAGAATCACGTTCACTTGAAATTAGTCCCTTGCGTGTCCCACCATGCTGACGTGTCACGGCCCCTACCCTACAGGCGCGAGTTTCAGCGGCTGAATGAGCTGCTACGTCAGCACGTGGCGAGCGGCGAAGCAGAGAGGGCAGATGGCAAGCAGGAAGAGGAGGATGAGGGGAACGAGGAGGGGAAAGGGGAAGAGGAGGAGGAGGGGCAAGAGGGGAGGGTGGAAGCATCTGCGGGGAAGAGGAGGAGGACTGGGGGCAGTGGCAGTTGGGTGGCGGCAGATGGAATGGGAGGGCGGGAGAATGCAGCTACCACTGCGCATGTTGCATCTCGGGTTACGCCTCGGGTTACACCTCAGGTTACGCCTCGGGTTACACTTGATGACGTTTCTGGAGGTGCTGATGGCGATGGACTGAACGTATCGCCTGTAGACGTGGCGAGGGCGTTCATGCGACCCAGTATGGCCGCGTTTCCTGCAACGAAAACCCCACCTGCAGCATCAGTAGCAGAAGAAGCAGCTGAGAAGGTGAGTGAGTGAGTGAGTGAGGTGAGTGAAGTTGTTGCCTGTAGACGTGGCAAGGTCGTCCCTACGAACCAGTATGACCTCTTTTCCTGAATCCAATCCCACCCCACCCCACCCCACCCCTCCCCAACCCACCCCACCCTTCTCATTGCCCTGTGGTTCTGTCCGTTGCAGGGAGTGAGCCTCCGAGCCTGGACGCCGTACCAAACCCAGCTGACGCCAGCCACCAAGGTGAGGCACTGGGTGCGGAAAGGGATGGAAAGGAAAGGAAAGAAAAGCAAGGGACGGGACTGGCTTAAGCTGATGGATTGAGCTGTTAGGGAGACTTCAGAGATGTATTGTTGTTCGAAGTAATGAATAGCAGGTAGTAATGAATGGAAGATATCTTATGTCACTATCCCTCTGTTATTTTTCCCTCTGTCTCTCTGTCCCTCTGTTGCATTGGCAGTCACGCAAGCGCAGCAACGCACAGCTGCATGAACCCGCCCCAACCAGTGTAAGCCCTTGGGGTGCTGTACCCCTTATAAGCCCCTCCGCTGTTCCTCATAGGCGCAGGGGCAGCATCGTGCCAAGTGCAGGAGGGCTGCGTAACGGTGGGACTGGTAACCAGAATCGCCAGAGGAGAGTGTCGTTTTCGCCAGCAGTGCTGGCAGCAGCGGCAGAGGGAGAGGAGGATGAGGAGGAGGGAGGGTGGAGCAGGAGGATGGGAAGAGGAAGGGCTTTAAGAAGATTGAGGGAAGGGGATAGGGATGATTGGTTGCCTCTGCAGCAGCAGCAGCTGTTGCAGCAGTTAAAGCGAGACCAGATTCTAGCAAACGTTCCTTCCCGGTCAGCTCAATCTGCCCGGAAAATCTTGGACACGTTGGATCGGATGGCTGGGGCTTTGCCTGCTGCGGAGGGTTTTGGACGGGCAAGGGAAGGAAGGAGAGTGAGTGGGGGTATTGAGGTGCGAAGATTGAAGGGGAAAGAGAAGGTTGATGAGGGGGAGAGCGGTGGGGAGGGAGGGGAGAATGGGACGAGACGCAGAGAAAACGAGAAGCAGCCGGAACAGCAACAGCAACAGCAGGGACAGCAGAGACAGAAGCAACAGCAGCAGCAGCAGGAGCAGCAGGAGAAGCAGCAGCAGAGGGGTGATGTGCTGGGAAGGGAGAAGGAGGGGGAGGAGGGTGGGGAGGTGAGGCGTGGAGGTGCTTTGGTGGATGGTGGAAAGGGAGAGGATGGGCAGGGGACGAGGAGAAGCCGCCACGGGTTCAGAATGTCTGTATTCGAGGTGAGAGTTCGGATGGGTTTGAATGGGTTTGGAGGGTTTGGAAGGGTCTGGGTGGGATATTAGATAGCCACACCTCATTTTGCAATGGCTGTAGTTTCGTCTCTCCTACTCACTCTTGTCCTACTCCGTACACTTCTGCCCTGCGATATTAACGTGTGTGAACTCGTGTCATTGCCCTCTTTTGTCAATTAAAATCTTGTAAGCTCTTGGCAATGAGATTTTAATCTTGTAATCTTGTAATCTCATTGCCGTCTCATTGCCCCCCACATTGGCTGGCCCACAGGAGGACGAGGAGGACAGGCCAAGCCAGGAAGCAGCAGGCGGAGGAGCAGCAGGAGGGGAAGGAGGAGCAGGAGCAGGAGTCAGCAAGGTGGCGGATAGAGAGGCGGCTGATGCAGGAACTGGTGCTGCTTCTGCTGCTCCTGGCGCTGCCACGGCTGCTGCTATGAAGCCAGGAGGGGAGGGGGTAGGGAGCAGAGTGGGGAGTGGTGGGCAGCAGGGCGACGGGGAGAAGGCCGAGGAGCAGAGCAAGGGCGGGAAATGCAAGGAAAAGAGTATGCCTGCTGCCACAGGAAGGTGAGATGGAGGGTGGTGGTGGGGGGGGGGGTGGGGAAGAAGGGAAGGGAGTTGATGAGCAAAGCTGGGATTGGGAGACCCTGAAAAAGCCAGTGATTATAAGAAGTGTTTTGAGACGTCTCAAAGCAAAGCTGGGGTTGGGAGACACCGAAAAAATTGAAGTGGACGGCGAGGTGGAGGGTGGAGGGGTTCTCATGCCTGAATAATCGTGCTTAATTGCCCATTCTCTATTTCCCCTTCCCACATTTCCCCGTTCCCCAATCCCACCATCTCCCCACTTCCCCAATACCCCATTCCTCCAATCCCCTATTCCCCCATTTCCCCCTTCCCCGGTTCCCCTCCCCATCCCTTGGTTCTAATTTTCTCAACTGTCCCCCTCCCTCCTTGACATTCCACCTCTTTCCACTCGCCCGCCCCTCCCATCCCACCTCTTCCCTTGCCCCATTCCAGTTTCTTCGGCTCAGCAGCGCATGCAGCCACTCTCGCACCACAACCCACCCTTGCCAAACCAGCATCGCCAGACTCCTACCAAGGCAAAGCACCCCCAGCAGCACCCGCAGCAGCAGCAGCTGTTGCAGCCGCAGCAGCAGCACCCCCAGCAGCAGCAGGATCATCCTTGGTTGCGTCTGGGTTCAAGGTCCCTACCTTTGGCTCCTCTGCTGCTGCCACTACCTCTTTCTTTGGGACTTCTGCTACTGCTGCCCCTGCCCCTGCTGCTGCTGCAGCCGCTGCCCCTGCTGTCCCTGCCTCTGCTGCTGCCGCTGCCAGTGCTCCCTCCTTTGGCGTCTCCCCCACACCCTCCATCCCTGCTTCCACCGTGTCTCAATCTGCAGCAGCAGCGCCAGCACCTGCAGGAGCTTCTGCTGTAGCAGGGCCGTTGTTCGGCACCATACCTGCTGCTGCTTCCGTTTCCGCTTCCCCTGCAGTAGGAGGAGCAGCAGCTCTAGGGGCAGCGGCAGGGGCAGCAGGGCCGTCGTTCGGCTTCAAACCAGCAGCTGACTCTGGTAGCGCTGGGATGGATGCTGGGGCAGCAGCTGCTGCTGCAGCTCCGACTGCCTTCGGCGGTGGTGATGGGGGCGACAGGGGAAGGAAGGGAGGAGAGGAAGGGGGTGATTTGGGAAGGAGGGGAGGTGGCGAGGAGGAGGAGGAGGCAGAGCCGAGGAGGAAGCGGAGAGTGTCATCTTCACCTGTGGGAGGGGGAGCGGGTGGTTCGCCTCCTTCGCTCTTTGGCTTTGGGAAGCCTCCGCCTGCAGGTGTGTGCCTGCTGCTTACAGGTGTGTGTCCTTGCTGTTTCCCCCAAGTGTTGCCTGCTTGCTGCTTGTAGTCTTGGATTTTCTTTATCAAAAGTGCTGTTTCTTGATTTTTTTTTCCATCCCTCTCTCTCTCCCCCCTCCCTCCCTAGCTCCCGTCTTCCCTCTTCCTCCTCTCCGCTCTCCATCCCTTTCTCGCTCCTGCCTTTCTCTCCTCTATCTCTCTCTCTCCCCCCTTTCCCTCCTCCCTTCATCTCTCCACTCCCCTCTTCCTCTCCCCGTCTTCCTGTTGTCAAACTCCCGTTTTTTTTTTTTTTTTTTTTTTTTTTTTTTTGCCTCATTCCCCTCCCAACAGCGTCTACCTCTCCTTCAGAAGCTGCTGCTCCCCTCTTCGGTGCTGCATCTACTGGCACTGCTGCCACCACCACTGCTTCTCCTCACTTCTGTTTTTGGTTTTCTTTTGCTTCATCCCCCCCCCCCATCAGCGTCCACCTCTCCTCCGGACGCTGCAGCTCCCCTCTTCGGTGCAGCTTCTACTGCCACTGCTGCCACCACCACTGCTGCCACCACCGCTGCTGCTCCTCTGGGCACCTCTGCCGCTCCACCTTCCACAACAACCACCACCACTCCTGCACCTGCCTTTGGCTTGGGATCCACCGCACCTGCTTTTGGCTTGGGATCCACCGCTCCTGCTTTTGGCTCGGCATCCACCGCACCTGCTTTTGGCTCGGCATCCACCACACCTGCATTTGGCTCGGCATCCACCGCACCTGCCTTGTTGTGGCTCGGGATCAACCGCACCTGCCTTTGGCTCGGGATCAGCACCGTCATTTGGCCTCAGCCCATCATCCACTCCCGCCGCAGCTGCTTCCACCGGAGCCCCTGCTGCCTCTACTCCAAGCTCTGCTGCTACAGCCTCAGCCACAGCCACAGCCACTGGTTTTACCACCTCTTCCATCCCTTCCTTTGGTCTCACGGCTCCATCCTTTGGTGGGGCCTCCACCACCACCCCTTCCTTTGGCACTGCAACTGCCCCATCCTTTGGCTTTACTGCAAGCGCCCCGTCCTTTGGCCTCGCCTCAACGCCAGCTTTCGGTGGCTCTTCTTCCTCTGCTGCAGCAACTGCAACCACCACAGCCCCCACCACCACCACCACCACCACCACCGCTGCTCCCTCTTTCGGTAGTCAGCCCGCTCCTTCTTTTGGGACGTTCGGCTCTGCTCCTGCCTTCGGTTCTGGATCTGCCTCTGCCACCGCTTCTGCCACCACTGCCGCCACTGCTGCAACTCCTGCCTTTGGTGCGTCTGCAGCTGCCCCTTCTTTGGCCTCGGCCCCCTCGTTTGGCACCGCTGCCCCTGCCTTTGGCACTGCATCCTCCCCTGCTTTTGGTGCTGCATCTGCACCCGCATTTGGCGCATTCTCTGGCTCATCCGCCCCTGCTTTTGGATCCTCCGCCCCGGCTTTTGGAGCATCCGCCCCTGCTTTCGGCTCCTCTACCCCTGCGTTTGGCTCTTCAACAGCTGCTGCTACAGCTCCGCTCTTTGGGACCACAACCACCACCCCAGCACCTGTTTTCGGTGCCCCTGCTGCTGCAAGCACCGGTGCCGCTACTGGCTTTACCTTTGGCGCTGCGGCGTCATCAACCCCCTCCGCCTCTACCACCCCTGCTGCTGCTGCCTCCTCGTCTCCTGCTCCTGTTTTTGGATTCTCTGCTGCTTCCTCCGGACCTGCCGCCGCGCCTGGGTTCACGTTCGGTGCCACAGCACCTGGAGCTCCGGCAGCAGCAACGGCACCAGCAGCATCGCCGTTTGGATTTGCTGCATCCCAGCCTGCCTCCTCCTCTCCTGCTCCATTCTCCTTCGGTGCTTCACCAACCACAGCCGCGGCAGCAGGAGGAGCAGCAGCAGCAGCAGCAGCACCAGCGCCCTTCACCTTTGGCGGTGGGGCGGGAGGAGCAGTGGCAGCACCGGGAGCACCTGCAGCAGCAGGAGCAGCCGGGGCAAGTCCCTTTGCATTCGGCTCCACTCCCTCTCCCTCCGCTGCTCCTGGTGCCTTCACGTTTGGTTCAACCGCTGCCCCTGCTGCCGCTGGCACTCCCTTTGGTTCAACCCCGGGCTTCCCAGGAGCCAGTGGGACCAGCAGCAGCCCCTTTGGGGGAATGCAGCAGAATACCATGTCTATGGAACCAGCAAGCACGAATGGATTTAACATGCCAGGTGGCATGCCGGCTGGATCTACTCCTCCTGTTGTTTTTGGAGCCTCGCCGTCCCCGGCAGGGGCTAGTCCTTTTGCGTTCGGGCAGCCCGCAGCTGGAGGTGCCGCCCCCGGCGCTGCCCCGTTTTCGTTCGGTGCTGCTCCGGGTGCTGCTGCTTCCCCGTCGCCTGCGGGGAGTGGAGCGAGTGGTGGGTTTGCTGCCCCGTCTATGGTGTTTGGTGCTGGTGCTGGTGGGGGTGGGGGTGGGGGTGGGGGTGGGGCTCCTGCTGCTGCTGGTGGGTTTTCGATGGGAGCAGGTGCACCTACACCTGGGAGGAGAGTGGTTAAAGCGAAGAGGCCAACGGCAAGACGCCGATAAGCAATATTGCTGAATCGACAATGTAGTAGTGTGGCGGGTTTTGCTGCCCTTCTGGGTGCTGCTGCGGGTAATTTAGGTGGGGTGATGGAAATCTTGAAAGAAGTGTTTATTGGTTCGTGCGACAAGATACCACAGAATTGGTTTTGTTTATCAGTCTCCATTGATGATTAGGGAGCAACAGACCTGGTCAGTTTTGGGACCAGGTCTCCCTAAAAAAGTTGGCATTATAATTGTTCTGGCATATTTTTTTACTGCGAGAGTGTGAGCCTTTGTACCTTATCGGTGTCACTGTGTCGGAAAATTCAGTCTGCTCCACGACACGTGGCGTTCATTCTGAAGTCTGCGGATCAGGCTGCACTGCATCCAGCCAACAAGCGCCATCCGCTGCATCCAGACGAGTCGTGCGTTTCTTGTGGCAGCTTTCCGCCCCGCCTTCTGCTCCCACCAAAGCGGGAACCTCGCCCCAAAGCGGGAAGTTTCTGTCTGCGCATCCTCCCCCTTGCGAATGGGGCTGCGCAAAGCAGAAGACTTCGCCAGCACAGGGTACTGTACATATAGCGCAAAGGAGCGGTTGCGCAAAGCAAGTTTCGCGGAAGGGACTCCGCCAGCCGAGGAAACTGCGCATATGAGGCTTGCGCAACGCAGAGACTGCGGAATTCGATTTCCGCTGACCCTCCCCTCCCCTCCCCTCCCTCTCCCCCTTCCCTCTTCCGCTCTCGCCGCGCGTTTCCTTCAGCCCGCCTGTCGTACCGGTTCCTTGCGGCGGCAGATGCGGCAACTCTGCGAAGGCTTGAATCTCCGTGCGCCGCGTCATGGATGCTGCCGTGGGTGATGACGTCACCTCATTGGAAGTGGCATTGGGGAGGGTAGAATGCAATGGATGGGAATGCACGGGCGCGGTGCGTATGCCATATGAGTGTAATGACGATCGGATGAGCTGCTTTGCTGCTGTGCCTTCTCGTCGTCTCTCTCGTCGGACCGTTCGTTCCGTGAGTCCGCCCGTTCGTCACGAATGACGACGACGATTTCTAAGTCGCTCACATCGCCACGCCACGTGCCTTGACGTTTTCTGCACGGTTTAACCAGAATCCTGACGAGCCTTCACGATGTTTTTAGCCCGATCCTCCTCGTCGTCTGGTGCGATTGAAACCTCGAGGTTAGCCTTCGAGGGGGTGACTGTGATTGGCCGTAATGATCGTCCTTTCATGCGTTTCCTTCATGCTGCTAACAAAAGGCGATAACTCTAAGAGGTGTTTCCTTCATGCTGCTAGCAAAAGGCGATAACTCTGTTATGATGGGGGCGTTCTTCTAAGAGATGACGTTAACGCGAACGGAAAGGAAGAGGTCCGTGACTCCCGGCGAGGCTTCGGCCTATTTCATCGCGGATCGCCGCGCGCTCAAACATTTTCCGCACGCCCCCATTTTCGTCGCTGATTGTCCCACGCCGAGGCATTATTAGTAGCGCGTCGCGGGGAATTTTCCGAGCGCTGAAGCATTGTTAGCGGAGCGCGCTTCGCCAGAAAAGCCGGAGTCGTCATGGTTAGAGCAACAACGGTCGAGATCTCTGAGGACGTCGATCAGCCTCTTCTGTCGGAAGAATCCCGACGGTTAGCCGTTAATTTTGACGGTTTCCGTCAACTTAACGACGACTCTGCGAAATCTGACGTTATCCAAACTGACGGTTTTCTCGAGACAGGATTTTGGGGGGAACGGCCGGAAGGCCTGGAGGGTCTGGAAGGGCTGGGAGCTGGAATGCCAACATTGGAAATCCATTCCATCTTCGAGGGTAATGTTAGTGTTGACAATCAAAGCCTGCTAGCACGGAAGGGAGTTACTAAAGAGGGGAAGGAGGAGGAAGAGGGTGAAGATGCGTTTCTGTTGGATAGCGCAATTGGCGGCGGTGGGAGCGGCAGTAGGAGCAGTGGCGGTGAGAGGGGGGGCCGTGGGGGCGAGTGGAAGAGCAGGAGACGTGTCACGGCAACGAGTGACAACCTCGAGAGTTTGGACTATGAGTAGGTGATGTGGGTGGTGATGTGGTGATGATCGGTTGGGTGCAGTACAGTATGGAATTTAGCCAGAATCATTTGTTTTTTGTTTGTGATGAATCACGGCAGCAAGTGACAACCTCGAAAGTTTGGACTACAAGTAGGTGATGTGGGTGATGATGTGGTGATGGTCGGTTTGGTGCGGTGCAGCAGGCAGAGTGACTCCAGCCAGATGCATCTTCTCGTATGTGACGTGTCATTGTCACGGCAGCAAGTGACAACCTCGAGAGTAGGTGATGTGGGTGATGACGTGGTAATGGTCGGTTTGGTGCGGTGCAGTAGGTAGAGTGACTCCAGCCAGACGAATCTGCTAATTTGTGACGCATGGTGGTGGTGATTTCTAACGATGTGGATTCAAATTGTGAGACGTCTCAAAGCTGTGATGTTTTGATTTCCAATATCAGCAACGCTCTCGAGAATCCGAATGACAGTAGGTGATCTGAGTGCTGATGGTGATGTGCTGGCTCCTGCTCTCCTCCTAGCGGACTCCTTCTGCGTCCCCCCCTTTTGAGAATTCTCAAAAGCGACTCAGATTTAGCTGATGGTGATATGCTGGCTCCTGCTCTCCTCCTAGCGGACTCCTTCTGCGTCCCCCCCTTTGCCTCTGCCCATCTCCCATCAGGGTTCTGGACCCCGAGTGGCATCACGGCCAGTGGCAGGCAATGACCCAAGCAGACAGAATATTCCACCCCACGCTGCGCTGGCTGCTTGTGCTGCTGCTCACACCGTTGGTTCACTGCCTCCCTCTATCTCCCTGTGTGCCACTCTCTCTCTCTCTCTTTGTGCATGCTCCTCCCTCAGGGTTCTCGATTCAGAGTGGCATCACGGGCAGTGGCAGGCAATGACGCAAGCCGACCGAATTTTCCACACCACCCTGCGATGGCTGCTCGTTCTCCTCATCGGCACATGCACTGGCCTCCTGGCCTTTCTTGTTAACATCTCAGTCGAAGCCATTGGCGGTGCCAAGTTTGGCCTCGTGTTCTCGCACATCAAAGGCCAGAAGTGAGTTCGTCACGTTCCCCTAAGAGTGTTGCTCATACATGCACCGGCTTCCTCGCTTTCTTCGTCAACATCTCAGTTGAAGCCATTGGTGGCGCCCTAGTTCGGATTGGTCTTCTTGCTCATCAAAGGACAGAAGTGGGTCTCTCCCTCCTACAACTCTGTTTGCCGTGTACGGTCCTTTTGTTGCTCATTGACTGACATTCGCACCAACCTGCTGCCTATTTGTCAGACATCCCAAATAACACATGCACTGACCGGCCTCCGTACCTTTCTGATCAACCTTGCTGTGGAGGTCAAGTCAAGTCAACCATTGCCTGTGCCAAGTCTTGAGGCGCCTCAAAAGACTATTTTTTTTTAGGCTCCTCAAAAGACTATTTTTTCTAGGCTCCTCAAAAGACCATTTTTTTTAGGCGCCTCAAGTCTGGCCATTGGCACTGACAAGTCTGGCCTCGTGTTTCCCCAACCCATCAGTCCCTACCCCACTACTTCCCCTTCCCTTCCCTTTCTTCTCCCTTCCATTCAGCTTCCTAGGAGGCTTTCTGGTGCTGGCAGCGACAAACCTGGGCCTTGTACTCGTTTCAACGTGCCTCTGTAACGGGATAGCGATGGAGGCAGTGGGCTCCGGTATTCCCGAGGTGAAGGGGTATCTGAACGGCGTCAGCACACCTGCTGTGCTCTCCGCCAAGACTCTGCTTGTCAAGGTGATAGTTATTCCCTCTATATTCGGTTATAGGTCAGGTATTCCCGAGGTAAATGGGTACCTGAATGGAGTCAGCACACCTGCTGTCCTCTCCGCTAAGACCCTGATTGTCAAGGTGATAGTTATGTCCTTCACTATATTCGGTTATAGGTCAGGTATTCCCGAGGTGAAGGGGTATCTGAACGGCGTCTGCACGCCTGCTGTGCTCTCCGCCAAGACGCTTTTTGTCAAGGTGATTGATCTTCCACTGCATATTTAAACAAGGGTGCGCTCTCCGCCAAGACGCTTATTGTCAAGGTACCCAGCACATCCTCACATGCATCTGTTCTTGAGGTGCCTCTGAGGCTTGAAGGGAGGGATATCTGATCTGAACGGCGTCAGCTCAGCACGCCTGCTGTGCTCTCCTCTAAGACTCTTCTCGTTAAGGTGACAATTCCTTCCAACAAGTTCAAAGAATAATTCCAACAAGTCTAGATTCTGGCATCCATGCTGCTGCTCTCCCCTGCTCTGCTGTCCTTTCCGCCAAGACCCTCCTCATTAGAAGGTGACTATTTTAACGCACTCGAATTCGAAATCTGACAGCCATGCTCCGTCCATTCCCCCTGACAATCTTCTCCTTTCCATCTTCTATCAGGCGCTGGGCAGCATAGCAGCCGTGGCAGGAGGGCAAGCAGTGGGGAAAGAGGGTCCTCTGGTGCACTGTGGGGCCTGCATTGCCAGCGTCCTGGGTGATTGACTAAAGAATGTTCAGTCATTCCTAGCTATGCTATGCATTCCCCTTCTCCCGCCAGGCGCTGGGCAGCATAGCAGCCGTGGCAGGAGGGCTAGCGGTGGGAAAGGAGGGGCCTCTGGTGCACTGTGGGGCCTGCATCGCCAGCATCCTGGGCCGTCTCAGCCATCGGATCTCCGCCCGCCGCGATCTCAGCCGTCCGCGCAAGCCACGGATCCAGGCAGCTAGCTCCTTCGCCTCTTTGGGATTGTTCAATCACGGGTCGATCAAGGCTTTAAGGACTCCTGTGTGGGTGCACAGCGACAGGGGTTTAAGGGACCTGGTGACGTGTGGTGCTGCCTCGGGTGTGGCCGCGGCCTTCCTTGCTCCCGTGGGCGGTGTGCTGTTCGCCCTCGAGCAGGTCACCTCCTGGTGAGAAGAGGGTGCATATTGCCGCTCATTGGGTGCGGTTCGGTTGGGAGTGGTTGAGAGCAATTCGTCGTGCCCAACTTCTTGCCTCGGGTGTGGCCGCGGCCTTCCTTGCTCCCGTGGGCGGTCTGCTGTTCGCCCTCGAGCAGGTCACCTCCTGGTGAGTGGTTGTGAATGGTTGGGGGTGGTTGGGAGCAACTGTTACCAACTCCTTGCTCCCGTGGGCGGTGTGTTGTTCTCTCTGGAGCGAGTCACCTCCTGGTGCTGATTGTGACTTTTGAGACGTCTCAAAAGTCGTCTACTTGGGAGCCATGCTGCTCCCAGCCTTCCTGCCTTACTGCTCTCTTCTGAGCTTACCACCCACCCCTATCCCCCCCTCCTCCCCTCATACACAGGTGGCGCAACTCGCTCATCTGGCGAATCTTCTTCACCAATGCAATTGTAGCCATGGTTCTCCCAAACTAACCCCACCCGCGTCCTCCCCCCGTCTCCCCCCGTCTCCCCCCGTCTCCCCCCGTCTCCCCCCCACCTCACACACACAGGTGGCGCAACTCCCTCATTTGGCGCATTTTCTTCACCAATGCAGTCGTAGCCATGGTTCTCCGAGCCTTCTCACCTGCATGCGCCCCTATCCCCTTCCCCCTCCCCACACAGGTGGCGCAACTCCCTCATCTGGCGAATCTTCTTCACCAATGCAGTTGTAGCCATGGTTCTCCGAGCCTGCATCTCCCTGTGCGAGGGCGACAGGTGCGGCGGCAGCTTCGGGTCCCGAGGCTTCATCCTGTTCGACCGAAGCAAGTCCCGAACCGACTTTGGGCTGCTGGAGGTGGTGCCGGTTGCTCTGCTGGGGGTCGTTGGGGGCTTGCTGGGTGGCTTATTCAACCATCTGAATGTGAAGCTGTGTGCTTACCGGAAGAGCAAACTGCAGAGGTGAGAGATGCCTCAAAAGAGCAAACTGTGTGCAAGGCAACTTTTGAGGCGCCTCAAAAGGTGCAAGACAAGTCCCTTTGTTGTATTGGGGAGATTCTTTTCGTCCTGTGTGAACGAAGAAAGTCCCGGACCGACTTTGGGCTGCTGGAGGTGGTGCCGGTGGCTCTGCTGGGTGTGGTGGGCAGGCTACTCGGAGGGTTGTTTAACCATCTCAACGTGAAGCTGTGCGCTTACAGGAAGAACAGGGTGCACAGGTGAGAGAGGGAGGGAGGTTAGGAGGGGGCGTCCCACCTCTACCAGCACCGCAACCTCTTAGTGCATGTGTGTGTGTGTGTGTGTGTGTGTGTGTGTGTGTGTGTGTGTGTGTGTGTGTGTGTGTACGCGCCCCATTCATTCCTCCCTGTCATCCCCTTCCTCCCACAGCCACGGAGCATGGGCGAGGGTGCTAGAGGTTCTCCTCGTCTCCCTCTTCTCCTCCGCTCTCCGCTTCTACCTACGGCCCCTTCCTCGCCTCCTGCCTGCCCTGCCCTCAAGACCCGGATGAAGAGGGGGGTGGTCAGGAGGGCGCCTTCTACAACCCCTTCCCTGCATCCTGCGTGCCATACCCAAAAGTGAACCTCTTTCTCTACCCTACCGTTCCCCTCCGCCCCACTAACAGGCACGGATCATGGGCGAGGGTGCTAGAGGTTCTCCTCACCTCCCTCCTCACCTCGGCCCTTCGCTTCTACGGCCCCTTTCTAGCCTCCTGCCTGCCGTGCCCTCAAGACCCGGATGGTGGAGGGGACTTGTCGCAAGGTTCTTTCAACTGCCCGAGTGTTGTCGGAACGGGCGACCACAAGGCTTTCGCCTGCCCGGACGGGCAATATAACGATCTTGCGAGCTTGGTGTTTACGACGAACGACGATGCGATTGGAAACCTTTTCCGCACGGGATCATTTGGAATTTTCACGTAAGTAAGAAAAGTGACTAGTCTAGGGTAAGTTACAAAAACTGTGCTAATCATTATATGGGTCCCCGTCGCAATCTGTTGCCACAATTTCCCATCCCATTTTTCTTCCCTATGCCCTGCCCCCAAACTGTTTCTATCCTACCTCCACCCACTGCGCTCCCCTTTCCTCCCCTACCAACTACTCCTCCCTGCTCCTCTCCTTCACCACTTTCTTTTTCTCGCCACTCACATACGGCACAGCAGTCCCGGCGGGTCTTGGGAGTGTATTCAAGCCCTTCTTCTTCCTTCTCTCCTTGTTTATCCCCCACCTGTAAAAAGATTATTTTTGAGACGTCTCAAAAATATTTTTTTTACACGTGGAGAGTATTCAAGCCCTTCTTCTTCCTTCTCTCCACCCCTCCCCAGCTACTCCTCTCTGCTCCTCTCCTTCACCACATTCTTTCTTCTCGCCACACTCACATACGCCACAGCAGTCCCTGCAGGTCTTGGGAGAGTATTCAAGCCCTTCTTCTTCCTTCTGTCCTTATTTATCCCCCTCGACCCACCAGCTACTCCTCTCTGCTCCTCTCGTTCATCACGTTCTTTCTGCTCGCCACGCTCACATACGGTACAGCAGTCCCCGCGGGTCTTGGGAGAGTATTTAAGCCCTTCTTCTTCCTTCTGTCCTTGTTTATCCCCCTCCCCCCACCAGCTACTCCTCCCTGCTGCTCTCCTTCATCACGTTCTTTCTGCTCGCCACACTCACATACGGCACAGCAGTCCCGGCGGGTCTCTTCGTCCCCTCCATCCTCTGCGGTGCCTCCTACGGCCGAATGGCAGGCATGTTCATGGTAAATCTCTTCGGCCCACACCGGGTGGGAGAAGGCACATACGCTCCCCTTCTTCCCTCCCTCCTCATTTTCCTTCTTCCCCTCGTCCCACTCCCTCCCTCCCCTGCCCCTACCAGCTACTCGTCTCTTCTCCTGTCTTTCGCAATCTACTTTGCCCTTGCCACGCTCACATACGGCACAGCAGTCCCGGCGGGTCTCTTCGTCCCCTCCATCCTCTGCGGTGCTTCCTACGGCCGAATGGCCGGCATGCTCATGGTAACCCTATTCGGCCCACACCGGGTGGGAGAGGGCACCTACGCGCTCCTCGGCGCCGCATCTTTTTTGGGCGGCTCCATGCGCATGACCGTTTCGCTCTCGGTCATCCTTCTCGAGCTCACGGGCAGCTTGAAACTTTTGCCGCTGGTGATGGTGGTGCTGCTGGTGTCGAAATCGGTGGGGGATTTGTTCAACCGGAACATTGATGATTCACATGTGGACCTTAAGGGAATCCCGTACCTCCCGGAAAACTGCACGCACCAGGATTTCACTTTGTTCGAGGAAGAAGGGGAGGAGGGTGAGGGGCGGAAGGAGGGTGAGGGGGAAGGTGAGCGAGAGAAAGAGGGCGGTCTCAGCAGAGTCACTGCAGACAGCAAACAGCAGCAGCAGCAGCAGCAGCAGCAGCAGCAGCAGCAGCAGCAACAGCAACAGAAACAGCTGGTGATAGGGATGGGATGCAGTTTTAGTGCAGCTGGTATCTTGTCACCCCAACCCCCTCCAATGACCCTTCAACAAACCACCCCTTACCCAAGACCCCCCACAGTAACCTTCGTGGTAACCCCCTCAATAACCCCCTCAATTACCTCCCCTGCAGTAACTCCCTTGCTCGTTTCCTCCCCATCTGCTACTCTCCTCAGTCCCGGAACACCCACCACTCCGTCTGGAAGCCTCACCAACCCGGCCAGCCCTAGAAGCAATGCTTTCAGCCCCCGTGGCACTACCTCCTGCACCCCTAGAACCCCACGCAGGCGCGCAACTGCTGGCGATGCTGTTGGTGCTGCTGCTTCTGGTACTGGTGCTGCTGGTTCTGCTGGTGCTGCTGCTGGTGGGTTGGCCGGTGCTAGTACTGCCAGTGCTGCTGGCAGTGCTATCAGTGCTGGTGGTGGTGCTGCTGCTTCTGGTGCTATTAGCACGGGTTGCCTGGTGGCTTTAGAGGGTGTGACTACAGTGAGACGAATCATAGACACCTTACGAGCCACGCAGCACAACGCGTTCGCTGTGGTTGATTTCATTGGTGGAAGGCGGGACATAGACACAAGGGAGGGGGCAGGAGATGGCGCAGGGGAGAGAGCAGGGGAGGGGCCAGCGAGCAGGAGCAGTAGCGGCAGCAGTAGCACGAGCTTGATTAGCAGCAACAGCAGCAGCAGCAGCAGCAGCGGAAGCAGCAGCAACAGCAGCATAGTTAACGCAGCCAGTTCTAGTACCGTCATCACAATCAACACCAGCAGCAGAGCCAGCAGAGCAGGGGATGGGTTGCTTCGAATCAGCAACAGCGGCAGGGTAATTACCCCAGGATATGTTCAATCTACCCCCTCCCAAAAAACAACCTTCTACGGGCTCATTCTCCGGAAGCATCTTCTCGCCCTTCTCCACTCCAAGAAAGCCTTCTGTACCGCATCGCACCGCAACGCAACCACCTGCACCACTCCTAGTGGTAATTATGCAATTTACCCTGATGAAGAGAGGTCAGAGATATTGCAAGACTTTGCAGCCTCCCTGTCCCTGGTAGGGGAACTCCAAGTTCAAGACCTGGAGATTACCCCTGAAGAGGAGGGGATGTTTGTGGATCTACACCCGTACAGTAACAGGTCGCCGTATATTGTTACGGAGACGATGGGAATGCAGAAGGCATATATGCTGTTCCGAAGTCTGGGTTTAAGGCATTTGTGTGTGGTGCCTAAACCCACGGATGTGATAGGGATAATTACCCGCAAGGATTTTATTAATGCTATGTGCAGAGAGATGGATGCACCAGAAAATCACTGTAGGTGATGGTTTTGCAATGCTATGAAGTTCAGCGTTTTGCTATTCCCAACCCAACCCCAAGGCAACAGCATTTTTTTGCATGGACACACAGGCTGTACGCTTCAAGTCACATGCTCAGCAGAATCTGGAACCACAGCTGACACAGTTAAGTTGAATTGATTTTCTGTAGCAGCAAACAGAATACAAGGCTTGTTACTGTATTTCTCCATCCAATGTTGACAGCACATCAGCACTGGAACACCTTACCAGTTTAACTCCACTGCCAGATTCATAGCCCATAAGCTGAGATTCCCCTACCTAAAACATGAAAACAGAACCAAGAATAAGCATAACCATGTTACACCCCTTGTGAACATTGTATCAATTATTATTCTTGTGCTTTCCACCCTTTTTCTTCCCACCACCCTTCTTCCCTTTTGGCGGAGGTGGCGGGGGTGGGGGTGCGGGAGGGCTAGGAGGGGGAGGAGGCAGAGGGTCAGGCCAGGGGGTTGACTTGGCGGGGACAGTGATGGGTAGTTGCGGTGATATAACCCACCTGCGTATAATCAAGGGAAATAAAAGAACGAAAGGAAATTAGTGAAGGAGCAGGGAAGGGGGTTGACTTGGCACGAACAGAAGTGGGCAGTTGTGGTGATAAAACACACCTGCGGATCACGAAGGGAGGGGAAAGAAGGAAAATGAGTAAAGGAAGGGGAAGAGGCAAGGGGAAGAGGCAGGGGATCACGCAAGGGGGGAGACTTGGCACGGACGGTAATGGGCAGTTGTGGTGATATAACCCACCTGCGGATCATGAAAATGAGTAAAGCAAGGAGTGGGAGGAGGCTGGGGGTCAAACCAGCAGGTGAATTGGCAGACAGTGAAGGGCAGATAACCCACCTGCGAATGATCAAGACGAGTCAGTCACTCTGCATCAATCACACTCTCAAACAACTGCTGAAGAAATGGGAACCTGCTGTCTTGGCACGCATCAGCCCTCCACCACCACACGAGCACTCCTCACATCCGTCCTGCACATGACTTTCCAACTAGCCAGTACCAAACTCACTCACCCAGATGGACCCAACGCCACTCACTCTGCAGGGAACTTGCTGTCTTGGCGCGCTTCAGCCCTCCACCACCACACGAGCACACACGCTCTCCACACTGCCCGATCAACCAACCTGCCTTTCATCCCGCACCACAGCGCCCAGCAGGTCAAACAGCCGCCACCCTTCCTCAAGAACAAGACGGAAAGAACTTACTCTGCGGGGAACTTGCTGTCTTGGCGCGCTTCAGCCCTCCACCACCACACGAGCACGCGCCGTCCACACTGACCAATCAGCCGAACCTCCCTCTCGTCCCGCACCACAGCGGCTAGCAGGTCAAACAGCCGTCCCTCCGCTCCCGAGCCTGCCACCGAACCTGTTTCCAAATCTTCTTCCGGGCCTCCTTTCGAGCCTCTTTCCAGGCCTCGTTCCAGCTCAGGGCCCCATTCCTCCCAGCCTCGCACCCAATCAGGAAGCTCCTCTTTCCTAGCCCATAGAATCCGTGAGTTAAAGACATACCCATGCCATAGCATGCCCCTCCGTTGCTCCCCCTCCGACCCTAGGGAGTTGTAACTTGGTAACCCAAATAGGAGGCGATCCGGGTGGTGTACCACCGTGTGCCATCCGATAAGAACGGATTCGTTATTGCATACAGGACCCTGCACAGGCATCTGATAGCGCGTCTGCTTGCCTACCCTCAACGTGCTGGAAGACGCTGATTGGCTACTGGCTTGTAACAGCCTGCGCTGTGGTAACCGCATTTGTTTTTGCTCATCCCCATCGCCAGCCCCATCACCTCCCCCTACTTGCTTTTTCTGAGTCTGCTGCAGCTTTTGCTGCTGCGTCTGCCATTCCGCTTGCCCCTCCTGTTTCCTCTCCTCCCCTTGCTGTGTCTGCTGCATACCTCCTCTATCCCCACCACCCGCCGATAAAACCAGTTTCGCTGCTTCTTGTTCTTTGCGCTCTTCCCCCCGCGCCCCCCCACCCTCTCCCCCACCCGCTCCGCCGCCCGCTCCCGCTGCTGCGCCCGTCTCTTTCCCCGCCTCTCCGCCTCCCCCACTCTCTGCTGCTCCCCCTCCTACCGCTAACCCCATCCCCGCCGTTGCCGCTGCCTCAGTAATCCGAACACCACTGCCACCACCAGCGGCAGCAGCAGCACCATCACCGCTACCACCACCAGTACCATCGTTACTATCACCCTCATTAGAGTCAGTGCTCGTAATGCGCCTACCACGCCCATGCCCGCGCCTCTTGCTCTTCCTGCTTCTCCTCCCAAGCCCTTCCCCCTGACTGCTCTGCTCCTCCGCCTGCTCTTCCGACCCAAAAAGCTGGGGGAACCCGACCGGCAGCAGCACGCCTACCGAGCCTGCGCCGAACCAGGGCACGCGCTGAGCCTCGGCGAAGAATTTCGGGGAGAAGACTGAACTGTCGTCTGCGAAGACCACGATGCCGTCGAGCCTGTGCTCCCGAACGTACCTGTGAGGTTCGGGAGAGGTTCGGAGGTCAATATTTAATAGGTGAACCGTACTGGTCAATACTCAGTCAAGCCCCACGCCCCACCAATGACGACACACCCACCCCCTCCCCGCACATCCCCGCGCGCCCCCGCACACCCCAACCCTCTCCCCGCACACGCACCTTAGTCCCACGACTCGCATTCGTTGCTCAAGCAGAACCCGCTTGTCCCAATCCTCTGCCATTTCCTCCTCCACGCTCAGATGCGCGATTTCCACCTCGGGATTCTCCGCCCCGCTGTCCCCGATAGTAGCCTTCGCGATAAGCCGTGCGGTTTCTTCCGTCTTGGTCGCTTCGACCACCACCCACAGCAACGGCGCTTGTACGCGTTTTAGTGAGTTGATCAACCCTAGCATGAGCAGCTGTTGGAAAGTTCGCTTGTAGGTCGGCGTGATGACTATAACGCGGCGAGGGGGGAGCGACGCCAGCCGTCCGTCCTCCTGCGCGAGCAATCTCAGCCGTTCGTTCTCCTGCAGCAGTCTCAACAGCGATTGGCTGACGACCAGCTGACGTGGATCCGGAGACGGGTTCGGCCGAATAAGGATTTCGTGACGGCCGATTTTCACACCAGCATCCTCATCGTCAATTCCCGCCGGCACGTTTAACGGTCCGTCAGACGTGAAATTCCAGTGCAAAGCCAAGTCCCATTCGCAAGCCAAGGGATCGTGAAATTCTTTAACCACAGGTTTCGGTTGATCAAAGCGGGACATTGTCGATGAGATGCCAGTTTCAGCCATCAGAAAGCGGTCTGTAAACGCGTGAGGATCGCCACTTGGTACTATATCGAATCGGGCTAAATCGGAGCTGTAGGAGCCTATACTGGAGCCTGGACGGAGGACAAGAATCTCCCTAGCTAGACGTAGACCAAAGAACATAGCTGCTGAGCAGGCGAAGAAATGAACAGCGACGGGTAATACAAACGCGAGATGAACCATGAGCCATCTAAAGAGACCTAGGTGGTGTATACTATGGAGGTGCGAGTACGAGTCCATTTGGCTTCGTTTTAGAGCACTACTTTGTCGCATGCCGCCGTGCGACGACGACGATTCGTTACTATTCGCCTGATCGGAATCAGAGGCCGAGCCACTACCACTACGACCTGACACGCGACGGACACGGATCATCAACGCGCGAGCAGCTCCGAGTACCTTATTTGTCATACAAGCGATGTGCGAACTACTAATTGTAACCTAAGCGCGAGATACTACCTTCGAAGCATAAGACTAGGCTAGGCGCGTTGCGACCAGCGCTTGTTGCGCCGAGACTCCCGCGCCATGGCTCACGGGCCTACCCGAATATGCTTGCTCTACCCTAATTATAGCACAACGATAAGCTGACCCAGGCTGAACCGAGAGGGACGAGACGAGACGAGAGGAGACAGGCCGGCGAAGGAAGCTAGCTGGCTCGTCAGATCGGGTCAGGGGGAAGGCTTGGCTTACGGGCTGCTTGGTACCACACTCAAACTTCGACAAGTTTGGCGATTCGTCCTAGATACACACGGACTAAACTCAGGCGTTAATGAGGGACAATAACGGGCGAGGAGCAGGCTGGCTCGAGGTCAAGAGGCCAGGTTATCGAGGCGACGTCCGACAAGTCGTACGGCGATTCGATCCTTGCTGCGGCTGCTTGCTGAGCTGGCAAGCGCGTCGATTGTAATGCGAGGAAAGTGGCTGGAGATTGAGCGGTGACTAAGGGGGTAGGGTAGGCTAGGAGGAACAAATTCAGGGCACAGAAATAGAGAAGGGCAGGCGAGGAACAAATATTCCTTTGAAACTCACACATCCCCAGACTCGTTCGGAGAGACGCGAAACTCTCTAGGGAGGTTAGGCTCGGTATTTTCTGGGGAGGGGACACGGGGGAAAGGACGGGGATGGGGAGGTTTGGGGGAGGTTGGGGGAAGAGGTGGAGTGAGATGTGAGGGGAGAGGAGGAGGGGGCAAGTCTGTTGGGTGAGCTGTACATCGTCTCCCGCCAAAAGAGAACTGTCAGTGGTGGGAGAAACTACGATAGAGTTTTAACGAACGGACACGATGTGGCATGTTGTTCTCGAACGACAGATCGATGGCTGGTGTGAGTCCGATGCTTGGTGGAGCTTAAGAAGGGAGGCGGGGAGGAGAGGTGGGGGGGAGGGAGTTGAGGACCCCCCAACCAGGGTGGGGAGGGGAGGTTGGCGCTTAGCTGACGGTGTGGTGTGGAGCGGTAGGGGTCGAGGCGCGAGGTGTGTATGCCACAGAAACGAACACAAAACTTTTGATAGAGGAGTTGCGCTGAACCGTACCGTACTGTTTTGTGGGCAACTGTTTCAGGTGATCGAAAATCAACCTGTGCAGTTCTAGCGCTTTCTCCTGCGATTGGTCAAGCACTCAACCCAGCGCTGAGCAAGTTGGCCCGGACAGGTCCGAGACGCATTCGTGTGCTTACATCGAGTGAAACAAGCGCGGCACCCTCGTTGTCAGAGACGTGCCCAGAACTTGACGTCGCACAAGAGGATGATTGGTGGCGACTGTTCGTGTGTCGCCCTTAGTCGCAGCGCAAGCTCCACAACAAAATTCGTAAGGAGCTTTTCGATCGTAATACACGACAGAGGCTGAACAGAATGGAGTGTTGAACCCAGCAGACCCAATTTCATTAGAGTAGTAAACACGTTATTGAATTATTCCTGATGCATAGTGCATCCAGATTCCTACTGATGAACTGCATCGATGTTTTCAGAGACACAGCACCAAATAATCCTCAATTCATGCTATCTTGTGAAGCCAGGAACATACAGGTTATGCCACTAAATTCTCACACTTTCACCAAAAGTGGAGATTGTAACAATGGGAACCCTGGTCGAAAATATAGATGCACCATCATCACAATGCGCTGTGCCTTCATCCCCATGGCACCTGGGATCCGTCCCTTGCCGTACTAGCCCACTTGACAGGGGATCAGGCCCAGGAAGGGTTGTGATTAGCGATCCCACGCCAACACCACTAAATCCCACCCCTGGTGCAAGAATAGAGGCAGCTGGAAGGGCTGCAGTTGATCCAGTGTAATCAGTAGTCGAAGTCACAGCGTCCACCTGGACAGTGGTTGTGACGGGGTTTGCAGATGCTGTTTGCGTCTGTGAGTTCTCCTGTTGCACGTTGGCGCTCCCCAGCCCTGTTCCGTCTTTCACGGCACGAGCTGCTTGATTGTTCACCACCCCCTGATTGTTAATGCTTCCTGCGTTGCCCAGCTGAAATGCACACGAGGGAGGGAACAGCGTCAACAACAGACTGTTTCGGTCGCTGCTATATCAAGATGGACAAACATGAAATACACGTAGCCTATCTTTCCCTCCCAAAATGCTTACTTGTTTGTAGTAGACGTTTCCTGCACCTGGAGCAACTTGTTTGCGGCTTGATTGACCATCCTGAAGGGAAAACACTCAACAAAAGCGCAAGCGATTTAGTTAAAACCGGCTGTTGAGCCAGATAAAGAGGAGAAATATCTGGCCTCTATGATAGATCAGCCGTCTACTAAAAAATGCACAAGACGGAATAGGAGGCCATTTTACAAGTACTCAATGAAAGGGAACTCAAGGACCGTTAACAAGTAACTCACGAGAAGGAAGAAGACGTCGAAGCGCGCCCAATCGAGCCCCTTTGGGAAGTGTGCTTTGCCAGAACGAAGCGGACGGCCGTCGCTAAGTGATGACTGTAACAAGCAAAGAAACGTCAAAAGGAACTTAAAGTTTCGAAAGCGGGGATTCATTACGGCGACCTTATAGAGGCTTTCGTAGAGGCAAAGAACACCGAAATGGGGCACAAATGGCAGAAATACATCGTCCTTCTCACTATTGTCCCGGAATGACTAAAACTCCACATTATCGGGGGGAAAAGGGGAAGGGAGCAGGACAGAGAGCACGCTCGCGTTTCCTAATGCTCATGCGAAAAAATCGAAGTGCGAGTGGCGAGCTAATCAAGGCGGGAACGAGTGTGCTGGCGGACTAATCAACCACGTCGTGTGGAGGAAATTGTTTGATACTACCTTTTGTGCGGGTGGGGCGCATATTTCCAGCTTGGAGGAATTCTGGTCCGAAAGGTTCAAGCGAAGAAAAAAGGGCGATCTTGTAACCGAGTTGAGCTGCCTTGCCACGCCAGATGCCACAAAAGTGACACCTGATTGCACTTTAGGTGCGCTGTGAGTCGTAACCACCTCGAACTGGAATTTTTCGCAAAGATTGTCCAGTTTCAGGCGAGTGCAAACGTCCTCGGATGTTCGCTGAAAGTATCGTCGCATGAGTTCGCCTTCATTGGCTGGCGAGCTGGAATTGCTTCGAAAGTGCCGAGCGAGGGTTTAAAAGCAGGCAGAGCGAGAAACATGTACGCTGAGCCGAGTAACCGCAATTGAACCATTCTCGGGAACGTCGCTCAGCCAAGCTTTGCGCAATTCGTGCACTCTCCTCAATTTCGCAATGTAGACCAAGTCCCCTACCAACAGCCAAGCACATTCCCGCATCCTCCGGAAATTCTTCACAGAAATCTAAGCCCTTCGGCAATTGGCGCGAAGGCAGCAGTCTCGATCATCGCTTCCGCTCAGATTCAGGAAAATGGATGAAAAAAGTCATGGAATTGCGTTCTTATTCGGTCTGTCGTTTCTCCTCGTAGCTGTTTTTCCATGCTCGGCTTCGTCAACAGAAGGACAGCAATTTGTGGCCGTTGATTCGGCAGAGAGGCGATGGCCAATGGTGGTGAACGTGTGGCCGTTTCTCGAAGCAAATAGCCGAGCGTGGGAGGTGCTGACACGTGGCGGGTCCGCACTGGACGCGGTGGTGGAAGGATGTAACGTGTGCGAGGTGCTTCAATGCGATGGATCAGGTGCCACGTCAGCATGAATTGTATCTGAAGAGCCCTTCGTCAAATTTCGGTTGAAAGAAAACACTACTCTCATCCCATCTCCTCGTGTATCCTTCCCCCGTTGCCTCCACGCGCTCCCACACACTCCCTCCCACACACTCCCTCCCACACACTCCCTCCCCCCCTTTCTCTCCGCCCCTCCCCTTCCCCCCTCTTCCCCTTCCCCCTCTTCCCCTTCCCCCCTCTTCCCCTTCCCCCCTCTTCCCCTTCCCCCCCTTCCCTTCCCCTTCCCCCCTCTTCCCCTTCCCCCCTCTTCCCCTTCCCCCCTCTTCCCCTTCCCCCCTCTTCCCCTTCCCCCCTCTTCCCCTTCCCCCCTCTTCCCCTTCCCCCCTCTTCCCCTTCCCCCCTCTTCCCCTTCCCCCCTCTTCCCCTTCCCCCCTCTTCCCCTTCCCCCCTCTTCCCCTTCCCCCCTCTTCCCCTTCCCCCCTCTTCCCCTTCCCCCCTCTTCCCACCCCCACCCTGCAGTGGGGTACGGAGGGAGTCCGGACGAGAAGGGGGAAACGACACTCGATGCCATGGTCATGGATGGGGTGAGATGGGATGACGTCATGGTCATGGATGGGGTGAGATGGGATGACGTCATGGTCATGCATGGGGTGAGATGGGATGACGTCATGGTCATGAAGCGGTGAATCCATGACGTCATGGTGATGTCGCAGGACGCCATGTCATCATCATACCGAAGTGTAGTATGCCCAACTTGGGCCCATGTGTCATGTGTCACTAGTACCATACCATGTGTCATGGGGCCATACACAATCTGGTCTGGACCATCGTAACGTAAACCCACCCCCGTACCCCCCTAGACACACCCACCTTCCCTTGCTTCCCAACATCCGCTCACCCCATTTCCTCCACTTCCCCCCACACACCCCACTCCCCCTTCACCACTTCCCGTTCCCCCATCCACGGCCATGACGCCATCCCCCCCATCCCCCCCACCTCCCCCCCTCTCCCCTCTCCCCGGACTCCATGGTCTCAGGGGGGCCCTGTAACAGGATCGGAATTCAGCCTTGTTTCAGCCTCCCATCAGGGCACCGGCTGTTTTTGAGGCGCCTCAAAAGTGCCTACACCTTTCCCCCCCTTCCTGTTCACTTCCCCCCTGCCTCCGCCTTTCCCCCTTCCTCTCCCCCCTCCCCCCCCCCCTTTCCCCCCCTCCCCAAGGACTCCATGGACGTGGGGGCAGTGGCCGGCCTGCGCCGAGTCAAGGCGGCAGTGCGGGCGGCATATCTTGTCCTTTTGCACACGTATCACTCGCTGCTGGTCGGCGACGCAGCAACCGATTTCGCCCTGGAAATGGGCCTGCCCGGCCCGGAAAATCTCTCCACCAATCGTTCTCTCGCCATTTGGCGCCAATGGAAGGCCGCCAGCTGTCAGCCCAACTATTGGCGCAACGTGACGCCCGATGCCGCCCGCTCCTGCGGCCCCTACCGCCCGGCTCCAGAAGCATCTGCTTCCGAACCACGTGGTGGTGCCACGGCCGAGCCTCAGGGGGCCGAAGCAGGTGCTGCACCTGGTGCCGGACCTGTTACCGGACCTGCTACCGGACCTGGTGCTGGACCTGTTACCGGACCTGCTACCGGACCTGGTGCCAGACCTGGTGGTGCCAGACCTGCAACCGGACGTGGTGGTGTGAGCGTGGGGTGCGATCCCAGCCTTGTTGGCAGGCAGCAAGGCTCTTTAAGGAGCACAAGGCGGATGGCATCACACGACACCATCTCCATGGTCGCCATAGCACAGGTGCAGTGCAGTGGGGTGCGGTCGGTTGCGGTGGGGTTCGGTGGGGTGGTTGGATGAGAGAGAGGCTGTTGTGGCAGTTGGCAGGCAGCAAGGGTCTTTGAGGAGCACAAGGCGGATGGCATCACACGACACCATCTCCATGGTCGCCATAGCACAGGCGCGATGCGGTGGGGTGCGGTCGGTTGCGGTGGGGTTCAGTGGGGTGCAGTGGGGTGCAGTGGGGTGCAGTGGGATGCAGTAGGATGGAGTGGGGTGAAAGGCTGGATGGGTGAGTGGTTTGTGTGGCAAAGTAAGGCTGTTGTGGTGGAAGGGAGAAAGTGTCTTTGAGGGGCACAAGGTGGCTGGCAGCACAAGACACTATTTCTGTGGTTGCCATAGTACAGGGAGCGGTGCGTGAGGTGAGGTGAAGTGAGGTGAGGTGAGGTGAAGTGAGGTGAGGTGAGGTGAAATGAGGTGACAGGTTCTGGGCTGTTCTTGTGTCTCTGCCCAAGACTGCTCTCATGTGCTTGATATGCGGACTCTTCTGCACTGCACTGCACATGCACGTTTACACTGCTCTCATGTGCTGTGCCTGATATGCGGACTCTCTGATATGCTGTTCCTGATATGCCCCCTACCATGCCTCCATATCACCGTGTCTTCATGTGCATGACGTCATTACCTCATGTGTACCTTGCCTGTCATCATACCATGTGCGTGACATCATCACCCCGTGCCGATGACGTCATCACCCCATGCCCATGACGTCATCCCCTCATGCCCATGACGTCAGAATGGCAGCATGGCAGCAGCGACATCCACCAATGGACTCACATTCCACATCCCTGGGAGGTATGTTGCAATCCGTGTCATGATATGTCTTCATACCCATGTGTCAACACCTCCCTATGGGCGGCAATGGCATCAGATTAGAACGGCAGCATGGCAGCAGCGACATCTACCAACGGACTCACATTCCACATCCCTGGGAGGTATGTTGCAATCCGTGAAGGAAGGACGGCACAAAAAGAAAGGGCTTTCATCATCCATTCCCATCCCTTGTCTTGATTCCCAAGTCATCTTACCCATGCCTTCATTCATTCCCAGGTCATAATAGCCATATCATCATAACCATGTCATCATGCTTACCACATACCCATGTCATCATGCTTACCACATACATACCCATGTCATCGTACTTACCACATCATGTCCATAGAGTCCTGCTCCTATAGCAGGACTGGGCCTGATGTTTTGAGTCGACTCAAAACAGGGTCCTGCTCCTAGAGCAGGACAAGGTCCCTGTGTGGACTTCTGCATCAGGGAGGGACAGAGAGTTTTTTCGAGGTTAAATGCGGAAGCATCACTCCACGGTTCGAAGCGGTTAGAGTTCTGACTTTGAGTAAACGTGCCAAATGCAACACGCCTTTGCTTACTCACTCAAGCATAGGGGGGTGTGGGGCAGCAGTATTGTTGTGTGCCGACTCAAATCACCCACTCTCACAGTCTGTCAGGGATGATGCACTCTCACACTCCTTCGCTCACTCTCTCACTCCATCGCTCACTCACTCACTCACTCCCTCCGTTCCCTCTCATTGTTCCCAGGGTGGGTGATGCACCCATAGCAGGGGCAGGAGCATATGTGGACTCCAGAGTGGGGGGCTGTGGGGCAACAGGAGATGGTGACGTCATGATGAGGTTCCTGCCATGGTATGCTGACGTCATGGCCATGTGTGCTTACTGATATCTCAGCACTTGCTGACATCACTTTAATCTTCATTTAGAAACTAGTACACGGATCGGATTTTTTACATAGAAACCTGTTAGATAGAGCCTACCCCCTCTCACTCCTCTGTACCCCTCTACTCTCCGCCACTAATTCCTTCCTTGCTGCTTTCCCTTTGTTCCTCTTCCCTTCACTCTTCCAGCTTCCCAGCAGTCGAGCTCATGCGAGTGGGATCTACCTCAGCCTCTCTCTTTCTCCCTATCGTCATTCCTTGCTTCCCCCTCTCCCACGTTTCTCTTCCCTTAATATCTCAGCTTTTAAGCAGTTGAGCTCATCTGAATGGACTCGACCCCACCCTCCTCACTTCCGTCTTATCTTCATTCTTCTCTTCCCCCTCTCCCACATTCATCTTCCCTTCACTATTTCAGCTTCCTAGCAGTCGAGGTCATGCGAATGTGCTATACCCCAGCCTCCTTTCTTCCAACCCATCTTCCTTCCTCTCTTCCTCCTCTCCCACATTCCTCTTCCCTTTCCTATTTCATCTTCCTAGCAGTCGAGCTCATGCTAATGGGCTATACCCCAGCCTCCTTTCTTCCACCCCATCTTCCTTCCTCTCTTCCTTTCTCTTCCCTTTCCTATTTCAGCTTCCTAGCAGTCGAGCTCATGCGAATGGGCTCTTCCCCAGCTTCGGCTGCCGAAGCTGCCATCAGTCGCATCCGAGCCAAATTCCCAACCTTTGTAGGAGGCTTGGTGGCGGTCAACAGGTTCGGGGAGCATGGAGCAGCGGTGAACAACTGGGTGCTACAGTACACTGTAGCTTCGCCTGCAACTGACGGTACACCACGCGTGTTTACGGTCCATCCTAAGTGTTGAGGAATAATAATGAAATCAATGTAACATTTCAGTCGTCCGGCACCATGTATGATCGGAGTTCTTCAATATCACCATAAACAGGATGTTGACATGAACGAATCCTGATATAATCCAGGAAGCAACCCAAGCCCTGCCCTGGAAATTCAGGATCCATGTAAAAAGACTGCCCTGAAAAATCAGGGCTTCTTTTTATATTCTAAGGATTTGCCCCAGCATCAGGGTCCCCTAAAAAGAATCTGAAAGCCTGGTAACGAATCGATTTGTGATGTGAGCCCTTGCTTTCGTGAACTGATTTGTTGCCAGCTTCAATTGACCACATCCCAAGGTGACAGTCCTCCGAAGTGACCATCCCGAATTGTCAATTCAAGGTCGTATTCGCTCGCGAAAATTGAGCTTGCACTTCTCGCCAATCAGGCACACATTTGAGAGCTTACCGTTCAGGCACACATTTGTGAGCATCGGTTCGAATCCAATCCTGTCGCCTAGTAGGATCGATCTGCTGCTTCAACCTGCCTCATTCCACAAAACGAGCACGAGGCAGAGAGCTCGTATGGGCAAGTAGCAGTGGCTCGAATCCAGTCAGATCTGCTTTTCCGTCATGGTCGAGCCCGTACCAGCTCGAATTCCTCACATTGAACCACTCCGTACGAAAAGCCATCGGTAGGATTCGACCCCCTGGCCGGAGCGCTGCGATGAGATGCAATGCTGAAAACGCTTCCCTGCCGGCAGACTCTCCAGAGGCGGCGGTCACAAACCTTAGAATTGAACCGACGGCCGATGACAAGGCGAACGTTGGGGCGGAGTTTGAGGCGCGTGGTGTGGGGAAAGTGGAAGTGGGTGCTGATAGAGAAGGAGAAGAGAGCGTAGAGATTGTTGAGGAAAAGCAGGGGGGAACAAGTGAAGTTGGGGGTAAGAGGCGTGGTAGGAGAGCAGGCAAGGCGAAAGCAAGAAGCGAAGGGAGCGAGAGTAAGAGCAGAGACGGGGAAGGATCCAAGGAGGAGGAGGAGGCAGTGGCAGTAATTGCTCAAGTGTTGATGGAGAAATACGGACCTCAGATTGTGAGAGAGGAGGAGGATGAAGGGCTTGGGAACGGAACGAATGAGGGGGTTGAGGAGGTGGAGGGAGAGGAAGAAGCGGCGGCTGAGGAGGGGAAGGATGGAATGGGCGCAGGAGCGAAAGAAGAGGAAGCAGAAGCTGAAGCGGTTGAGGAGGGTTCATCAGCCACCACATCTCGCCGCGCACGTGCAACCACCCTCTCCTCCCTCCTCTCCCTCTACCGCTTCTTCTCCTCCCACCTCGGCATCTCCTCCCCTTCCACTGTCGCTTCCCTCCTCGCCTCCCACCCCCAACTCCTCCGCTCCAATCCCACCAATGACTTCTTGCCACGTGTCCGTCTCCTACAGACATACGGCATATCGCATATCGCATGCTGACATTGCCTACATCACTGAGAAAGGAGCAGCCTGGCTTCGAGTCCCCCTTCCACAAATTCAAAACACCCTTGAGTTCCTTTTGGCTCAAGGCGTCCGCCAAAGCAGATTGGGCTCGGTGCTCCGACGTGGGCGCAACTTACTTCGCTGGGAGGCACGTTCAACGAACCTGGACATTCTGGTGGACAGAGCAGGGGTTTCTGTGGACAAGCTGGGTGTGGTTATCGAGGGATATCCGACCACCTTGACTCGGAACAAAGGGGCGGTAAATGCGCAGCTTGAGACCTTATCAGCCTACCTGAAGGCACAAGCAGATAGCACCAGCACAAGCCCCCTGAAGCAGCGACTAGACGAGCCGCTTTTGGACATGAGCCAACTAAGCAAGGCTATCCTGAAGTCTCCTTCCATCCTCTCTATTCCTCCCTATCGCATCGCAGAGAATATTGCCGTTCTCCAGTCCTTCACTCCCCCAGGCACCCCCTCCATTGCGACCTCTGTGCTTCGGCATGCCACCTCCATCCTCGGTGTTTCAACAGAAATTCTCTTAGCTAAGCTCCAGTTCTTTGTGGAGCTGGTGGGAGAAGAGGCAACGGGAAGAGTGGTGAGGAGTCACCCAGGGGTTCTGAGACTATCCAAGGAGAACCTGCAAGGGAAGGTGGCAGTATTGGGTGATGTGATTGGCCGAGAGAATGTTGTGAGGGTAGTGGCGCGATTTCCTTCGCTAATAACTTCTGGTGAAGATGTCATGAGGGAAAATTTCAGAGAGCTTGTGCGAGAAGTGGAAGAGGCATTGCAGGAAGCGGGATATGGGACGCCGAGGCTGGGCGAAGGTGATGGAGGTATTTGTTTTGATGGAGAAAATGATTCCCAAGCATTGAACTCAGCATTAAGTGTTAAGAGATGCAGGGCTCGTCAGTTGGTGGTGGATTTGGCTGTTAAGCACCCACAGGCTATCCGCTGCAGCTGGAAAACGAACCTGAAGCCCAAGGTGGAGTACTTAAAACGGGACATGGGGCTCTCTATAATGGAGGTGCTTGCCTACCCTATATTTCTTGGGTTCAGTTTGGATCAGCGAATCAGGCCGCGGCATGTGGCACTGGTGCAAATAGGATATGCGGTTGTGGCACGCGAGATGGTTAATCGGCCAAATGTTGGAGAAAGGAGAGATGTTTTGACGAGAGCTGGGGAAGAAAGGAGCAAGCTGGGTTCTGTATCTTTCAAAGTGGAGGGAGTGACGGGGATTGAATGGAAAGCGGAAGAAAGGGAGAGCAAAATAATAAGTGATAGGCAAGAGCAGCAGCGCAAAGGGGAGGATGGTGGTAGGGAACTGCCACTTGAGAAATTCCTAGACACTCACGAGCCAGGGGGGAAAGCTGCTACAGAGCAGGAGCTTGTGAAGTTGGAGGGGACTAAGAAAATGGTGTGCTTGCAGCAGTTTCTTCACTGTACAGACAAGCAGTTTGAGAAAAGGTTTGGGGTCAAACTGTAGGGCTGCTGCTGATATGCGCTTCTTCAGCTTCCAGTGTGATGCGGGCCTCAAAGTCTGTGCCTGAGTGAGAGGGTGTGTACCCGTTTCTGATGTCTGTGTGTGTCTCTCCACATTAGCCCCTCTCTTCAGGAATCACCATTGCATCAACCACTGTGGGGGGGATGGGACGGGGAGAGGGGAGAGTTAGCAGAGGGAAATGGTAGCTGATGGAATGATTGCGGCAGGGGCAGCGGGGGGACCTTCTATGGGCTCTGCTTTTCTCTCCAGTTTTGAAATTTCTACTGGTGCTGGAGGAGAAGGGGAGGGGGATTACTAGAACTAGCAGCAGCAGCAGCAGCAGCAGCACAAGGAGGAGGGGATAGTGTGAGTGCCACAGCCTTGCTGTGGGTCCTTTGTTGCTTCTAGATGGGACCAGAGGGGGTGTGGCTGCTACAACTGCCTTTGCTATAGCCGCCGCAGCTCTACCTCTGCTGGACCTGCTACAACTGCCACTGCTACAGCCGAGGAATTTTCGGGCTGCCCGACGAAACGAACGGGCGGGTAGTTAAGTCGAGAGGAGACGTGGTGGGGGAAGAAGGATGGTTTGAGGGGAGCGGAGGAGGAGGGGGAGGTGGGGGGGGGCGAGAGGAGGTGTTGGCTTCGAGAAGGAGGAAGAGGAGGAGGGAGAGCAGGGGTCGGTTGTCAGACACTCCTTGAGTGAGCCCCCTCCCATCGTCCTGGTTCAGCCGCCGATCCAATACCGTCTCTAACCAACCACTCTGGTGGGGAGGAGGGGAGGTGAAGGGAAGAGGGTAAGGGAGGAGCGGAGGGGGAAGAGCAAGGAGAGCAGCAGGTGGTTGAGGGGAAGAGGGAAAGAGGGAAGTGGAGGAGCGGAGGGGGAAGAGCAGGGAGAGCAGCAGGTGGTTGCCAGAGACTCCTTGAGTGAGCCCCCTCCCCTCGTCCTGGTTCAGCCTTCGGTCTAGCACCATCTGTAGCCACCCGCTCTGAGGGCGAGGAAGGAGGTGAGGGGACAAGGGAAGTGGAGGAGCGGAGGGGGAAGAGCAGGGAGAGCAGGGGTCGGTTGTCAGAGACTCCCTGTGTTAGCCCCCTTCCATCGTCCTGGTTCAGCCGTTGTTCCAATACCATCTCTAAGCAACCACTCTTGTGGGGAGGAGGGGAGGTTGAGAGAAGAGGGGAGGGGAGGAGGGAGAGGAGGGAGAGGAGGGAGAGGAGGGAGAGGAGGGAGAGGAGGGAGAGGAGGGAGAGGAGCTGGTAATTGACAGTCACTCCCTGTGCGAGCACCCTTCCATCGTCCTGGTTCAGCCGCCGATCCAATAACATCTTATCAGGATTGGGAAGTAGAAGAGAGAGTTGGAGAGAAGGATAGGGGGGAAGGAGGGGGAGGAGGGCATGGTGAAGAGAGGTTGTTAAGCACATAGCGAGACCAATTTTTTTAGAATTCAAAAAAAACAGATGGTGAGGAGAAGCGGTTATGCACATAGCATAGCGAGACCAAGAAATGAAGCACGTTGAGAAGGCGGACAAGAGAGGTCTCATCTTAAGACTGGCACATTGCATGGCTTGGCGAGTGTGAGCAGAGAAGCGCAGGCCCGAGGGGTGTTGCAGGAAGGCCAGGGCGGGCATGGGGTAGAAGGGGGCGTGAGGTGGCTTGCAGAGGGATGTGGCCGTGTGAGGGGAGGGGGGAGCCCTGGGGTGAAAGCAAGTGTAGGGAAGAAGAGCCGACCTCGAGACTGGCAGCGCCCATGGCTTGGCGAGTGTGAACAGAGAAGCGCAGGCCCGAGGGGTCTTACAGGAACGCCAGGGCGGGAATGGGGTTGAAGTGGCTCTGCAGGGGAATGCGGGCGAGTGTTTCCCTCCTCACCGCCTGAAAACCGTTCAGGTCCGTGTGAAAGATGTTGCCAGACCTCAAGAGAAGGGCATGGGGTATATGAGACAGGCATGGGGCATGGGACATGGTGCATGAAAAGCAGAGGGCGGGTAGGGGAATCTGGGCGATGTTTGCAGACCGTTCAGGTCTGTGTGAAAGTTGCATGTACGCCTGAAAGATGTTTGCAGACCTGGGGTGGTGGTGGTGAGGGGGTGCAGATATTATGAGAGTGAGGAGGTGCGAGGATGAGAGGGCGAGGGCGGGCATGAGGTAGAAATTGCCCTGCAGTGGAATGCGGGAGAGGGTCTCCCTTGGGAGGGACGGGGAATGCGGGAGAGGGTCTCCCTTGGGAGGGACGGGGAATGCGGGAGAGGGTCTCCCTTGGGAGGGACGGGGAATGCGGGAGAGGGTCTCCCTTGGGAGGGACGGGGAATGCGGGAGAGGGTCTCCCTTGGCTCGGTTTGGAAATCGTTCAGGTTTGTGTGGAAGATGCTTCCAAACCTCGGATGGTGGTGGTGAGGGGTTGCAGATGGTATGAGAGTGAGGAGAGGAGTTAGGTGGATGCGAGGGTGAGGGCAGGGGGTGCGGGAGAGGGTCTCCCTTGGCACGGTTTGGAAGCCGTTCAGGTCCGTGTGGAAGATTCTACCAGACCTGCAGGGGTGTTGGGAAGAGGGGGGCGCTGCAGATAACAGAGGGGGAGGGACGGCCTGGCAGGTCAGAGCTGATTGATTTTGGGGCTTGACAACACGGGAGGGCATGTGAGGAGAAAGGCAGGCATGAGGGCAGGCATGAGGGCAGGCATGGGGGCAGGCATGGGGGCAGGCATGGGGGCAGGCATGGGGGCAGGCATGGGGGCAGGCATGGGGGCAGGCATGGGGGCAGGCATGGGGGCAGGCATGGGGGCAGGCATGGGGGCAGGCATGGGGGCAGGCATGGGGGCAGGCATGGGGGCAGGCATGGGGGCAGGCATGGGGGCAGGCATGGGGGCAGGCATGGGGGCAGGCATGGGGGCAGGCATGGGGGTAGGCATGCTGGACCTGCTACAGCTGTTCTTGTGGGTGGCCGTGTCGTGGGCTGTAGCAGAGGAGTTACTGTTCAGAGGGCTGCTTCTCATGGCCCTGCAAAAGAGGCTCGGCAGGTGAGAGGCTTGGCAGGTCTTTCGGTAATGAGGTTGGCAAGGGCTTAATGCTACCTCCTTCTTTCTGGTTTGATAACTTCCTCCATTCCCATGGCCCACACTCACTAATCAATCTTTGAGACGTCTCAAAAATCTCCTTCTTTCTGGTTTGATAACTTCCTCCATTCCCATGGCTCACACTCACTAATCAATCCGATGTCACTGTTCTTTCCTATCCTCACACGCTTGATATTATCTTTCCTGTATTCCCCTCCTTTCCTCCCTGCATTATCCCCTTCCCTGCCTCTCTCCCCTTCCCTCCCTGTTTCCCACCAGGATCGACGCTGCCATGCTGTCTGCAGCCCTCTTCGCCCTCTTCCACCTCTCCCTCGCCCTCCTCTTCCCCAACATGGCCCTTGGGATTGCCGCCGGTCTGCCCGCTGTCTACTCCAATAGCGTCTTGCCAGTTGTCGCTCTGCATACCACTGACAATGCTTGTGCTCTAATCTATGCAACTCATGGCTACAACGATTGCTTCTGTCTAGCAGGCAAAGAGCTATATATCTGTTTCATGTTCGTATAGTTTTGTACGTTCCAATTCCTGCCAGGACTACGCCCTTGTATCTCAAAATTAATCAAAAACAAATTTTACGCCCTGTACACCCCTTGCGCTAGTCATACATAAAAAAAAAAAAAAACAAGAGGCGACAATGTCGTCCTAAGGGTTGCGAAGCAATTTACAAAAAGTTGTATGGTATGTATTTCAACTACAAACTGTAGATGCATAAGCCAATGTGAATGTAGCCTTGAGCACTCTTTGAAGCAATCACACAAGATTCGAACCCGCAACTTTCTCATTCCATTTTTCACTTTCTACCGACTGGGCCAAATCAACCGAGACAAAAACTCGTCTTGTCTTTGCGACGAAATTGAAACCATCCTAGGGTTTGCGTCTCTCTTTCCCCTCCCTCGTTTTTCTCGCTGGTGGAGCTGGTTTGGTGCCCACCTGCAAGCCATACTCTTACCTACCACTCTAAGGTGAGAGGATTCAATGCCATTCTCTAGAGCTAGCTTAGATTATGCTAGACTACGGTTTCGTAATATCGTATCCTAGTCGTCTACTTCTAGTTTGTTGGCCGTTCTAGAGGTATGCAGGTTGTTTAAACTTCAAAACTTGTCCTTTGTAAGACGGCAGCTTTCCCTTCTGTTTTTTAGGTCATTCATGGTCCAGCATCCTTGATACTTCATTTCTTCTATTGCTTAGCTTATTCCTTTCTCCTCTAGTGCTTGTCGTATTATTCTCTTTCCTTTCATCGTCGTCTCTGTACTCGTTTTAGATCATCCTTGTTTCTGCTAAGCTTCTCTAATTTTGTATGTTATTAGTAGTTGTTCATTCTGTTTCTTATGCTTGTACCGTCTTCTCTCCGTTCATTCTGTTTCTTTTTACGATTTTCTGTTTTCCATCACATTTTATTCACATACTTTATTATCTAATCACTTGTTACGTGCTCCTACTTTTGGAGATTATTAGTACGTTGGTCATTCTGTTTCTTATGGTTGTACCTTCTTCTCTCCATTCAATTTGTTTCATTGATTGATTTTCTGTTTTTCGTCACATCTTATTCTTATTTATTCACGTGTGCTGTGTTTGTCTCTTTCCGCTTCCTTAATCTTGTATAATCATAGTACGTTGTTCATTCTATTTCTTATGCTTGTACCGTCTTCTCTCCGTTCATTCTGTTTCGTTTGGTAATTTTCGTTTTTCATCACACCATTCTGGTTCTTATGCTTGTACAGTCATCTATCCGTTCTTTTTGTTTCGTTTATTGATTTTCTGTTTTCCTATCTGTTCAGTTCTGGTTCTTATGATTGTACCGTCATCTATCCGTTCTTTCTGTTTCGTTGATTGATTTTCTGTTTTCCTATCTGTTCTTGTTGCTTTTTAACACGAGGCTCAACAATTTCATATGTTATTGGTTAGTTTTGAGTTTGATGCATTCCTGTATTGATTGGTGTTGTACCAACTGAAAGGCAATTATAACATAATGCATGTATGTCCTCCCCTTTTCTCCCATTATGCCTTGTTATTTCCCATTTGCTTTCCCTTCCTTAACCCTGTTTTGTCTTACCCTCCAGGCAGTCGAGCTCAATATGAGAAGTAGACTGATATTGCTTGTGACTTATGGTGTAGGATACATGATGTCTTGGTAATTTAGGTTTTTATTTCATCTTCGGTTAATATGCTTTGTTCGGCTTTGTGCATGCGCGTATGTGTGAATGTGTATGATCATGTGTATGCGTTGTGTTATGTGCGCTTTCATTCATGTTTCCATTGCATTAATAACACATGTCTGTGGGTTTTAAAAATTGGGATCAAACTATCATTTCCGAGAAGGTTCTTTGCGCACTCAGTGAGTGTGTTCATTTGAACTGGATTTGATAGAATTGACCTTTTTTTTAGATCACACAGATTGTGTTGTTTCTTGTTGTTGGAAACAATAAGACCTAAGCGCTTCAGTCGTGTCGAAAACACCGCATCAGAAGCGAGGCAAACTACACCGAAGCACCCGCGAGTCAACCCTGGGGTTTGAAGAGGTTGCTGGAGGTTACGCGAAGGTCAAAGGTCGCTAACCTTTGACCCGACAAGTACAGCGCGACAGTTAAGGACATACAACTGACTCGTTACAGAGCAGTTGCCCGAGTCGTACTGTATCGAACCGCAACAGCAACAGTAAAAGTAGTTATAACCGTATCCTTTGATATTCCTTACACCACTATATATTCTTGTACTTTCCTGTTATAATTAATCTACTTTGCCCTCACATACTAGCGCAAGGTGGTTCACAATTACTTCACTAAAAGCTTCCGCTATTACAATTGTCCTACCCAGAGTTCTCCCCTGAAAAGATCCTAAGGGGCTATCTCAGCCCAACATGGTATGAGAGCGGTCAGGGGAAATTCTACCTCTTCAATTCAAAGACATTACAAGACATGGCAACAAACAAGGAGAGGAGCTCTTCTAATGGCTCCCCGGGGACTACTCCTACACCACCTCCTGCCTCTGGCCTGCAGACAGAGGAAGGCACAGCAACAAGACCTAGGGGAACGTCCACCGAGACTCTCACAAATCGCCCCACGGGCTTTGACCAGAGCATGATGGAGAAGTTTTTCTCCTTCATGTCCTTCTACGAGCAGCACCAGCAGTCGGGACCTGCACAGACACACAACAGCAACAACGGAGTGACACCCATGAGCCTTGATGGGTCGTCATACGCGCGCGGAAATCAACAGCAGCAACCTACCTTCGCCCCGTACGAACGCGGGTCAATCAGCTTCATGCCGCAGTCTTCGCCTGCACAAGACAAATCACTGGACGCGTTACAAGTACAGTCGCAATTCGCACACGTTTTGAAGCTTCAGACGTCAAGACCATTCGACGGAAAGGACTTCTTCACCTGGTCCTTTGAGTTCGAGTTGATGATGGAGGGCGCGCAGATACTTGGCTTCTTCGACGGGTCCCTGCAATATCCAGCAAACGGCACACAGTATGAGAAGCAGCAGTACACATATCAATCGATGATGGCGTATACGATCCTACTGAGGAACTTAACACCAACCCAACAGCAGAACATTCGGTCCTACCGGGCCTTCGGCAACTCGGCGGAGCTCGCGTACAACCATCTGAAGAGCCTGTATCAAGCAACAGACAGTGTAAACCAGAGCAGGTTAATGGCGCAGCTGACAACAGTTGAGATGAAACCAGGAGAGAAAGGAATGGCATATATCAGTCGATGTCGCGAACTGCGCGACAAGCTTCTTCGATGTGGAGGATCAATCTCTGAGGACGCCTTCGTGACGGTCATCATCGGTGGCCTCGGCCCTCAGTGGCGCGCAACAAAGGCCATCCTCCGAGCCCACGGACGAATTTCTGAGGCAGCACTCTGCGCCGAAATCCACGCCGAACAGCAGGACATGGATCTGCAAGAAGAACGACACAGGAAGAAGACGACAACGTCAGAGTTCGCATTTCACACCCAACGACGACACAACAACTACAGCAACAGACAACAACAGCCGAAGCCAGTACCTCCCTTCTGTCACATCTGCAAGACTTCAGGGCACCCGCGCACGCACTGCCCGAATCGTCAACAGTCAACGACCCCGCAACGACACCTTCGACCTTCAAGCAGTCAAATTGCGTCAACGCAAGCAAATCCAACGACCCAGATCCAAGCTTCAACAACCTCAACGGGACAACCTGCGCAAGGAACAAGAAACATCGTTAGCTGCATGGCAAGACTAAGTGACTCTTGCGTCATGGATTCACCACCTCATTACTCACCGGAAGAACAACTCGACAACACCACACCTCGTCGCGAAGCACTTCAACCAAATCCGACATACGCTGCCATCGCCCAAAACGAGCCATCCGGAAAAGACACGTGGTTCTTGGACAGTTGCTGCGGACAACACATGTGTTCTTCGGGACGCTTCGTACAGAGAGAGTATCAGCTTCAACGAGAGGTCGTCATCACCGTCGCCAATAATCAAAACCTGTACACACGACGACAAGGAATTGTACAACTTCAGTCACGGGAGACAAACGTCATTCTGCAAATGTCCAAAGTTTTAATCGCAGAAGGCCTCGGATACAACCTTCTCAGTGTGAGTCAGTTGATGGCGAAAGGCATCCACCTCGAAGCAGACAGCACTACCCAAGAATTCAAGCTGTACCACGGGAGAGGAGGTCTTTACATCGGGAAGGCAATCCTTAAAAACAACGTCTTCGTCTTGGACTTCGTTCCTGATCTCGGCACCGCTGACAGTGACGCCATAGTCAACTTTACCAACTGGACACACCCTCCGGATCTTGACCCCGACTTCAGTCCAGGCGGCTTCTGGTATTCACATACCATTCCTGAAACAGAGAGAACAAGAGCATTAGCAGCGATTCAACAATCGGCAGCAGCAGAGACAACGTCGGCAGCAGCAGAGACAACAACAGCAACAGCGACAACGACGACACCAGTCGCCGGTCCTTCAACGACGGCGCTCTTCAACGACGATGCACCACCAACACCTGCACAACAGCTTCAGCCAGCACCACGAGAATTTCATCACAGTCCCAACTTCACCACCGGTCTCTACTCCAACTCCGACATGTATCAGCGCTCACCCGGTCATCGCGCCAACGAAGAAATCTGGCACGCAAGAATGGGACACCCAAGCAACACTGTGTTAAACAACACAATTCGAGCAGGAGTACTCGACAAGGACTCTCTGCTTTTAACAGACGGCAGAGAACTTCAGCGAGCTCGAGGAACATGCTTCACCTGCCCCGAAGCTGACTTACCGCATCAGCCCTTCGTTTCGCATCACAACCCAAGCGCACCTGCATATGCACCACTCGAGAAAGTATACAGCGACATCTTGTACAACCGCGAACCCGGACAAAACGCGTATAACTACACCATCACCTTCATCGACGCCGCTACACGCTACGTCTGGCACCTAAACTTACCAAGTCGCGACATGGCTTTCGAGGCTTTCGTGGCATGGCTTCCAGCAGCAGAACGGGAATCG